CATTCTGAGTCTTATTGTACCGAAATCTACCTTAGAAAACCAAATATTTACCTAAAACCCCCTTTACTGGGACAAAGAATGGGTTTTCGTTGTTGTAAAATCAAGCGCGAAAACCAGAAAGATGGGTTTTAGGTACATATCTGCATTGTTAAGTTAGATTTCGGTGCAATAAGAGGCGAAAAGGCAGATCTTGACCGGGATCTTCTCGAAATCGCCGTCTATTTGACCCAGAAAGGTGGTTTTACGTCGATATCTACTGGTTTATTAACGTTTTCGTTGCAATAAAAGCCGAAGAAGCCAATTTTGACTACTATTGGAAAGATATAGTCATCAAAAGGTAACTGTTTGGATCAAAAAATGATAGAATCTGCAGTTTTGATGCGGTTTTAGGTTCGATATGTGTCGAATTAGCCGATTTTGATTGGAAACTGTTTGAAATGAGGAAGAAAAACCTACCATCAATCCATATGACTATAATCTACTCGAATACAATAGCGAAAACCATTTATTTGTCCCAAAAAGAGGGGTTTTAAGGTTTTCATTACTATAATGCCCGAAGGCGCCGATTTTGACTAGTATTTGATAGATATTGATATGAATATCAAAACATTTTATAATAAGATAGTAGTACAAGTTTATAAAACTTGGAGAGAGATAATTTTTTGTAAACGTTTCATTAATCATATTTTTTCGATACTTGAACAAAATTTTATTCTTAAAATCATAAACTGAACAAAAAATAACTCAAACGTCAAAAAGTTGTAATAGAGGCATCTTCTTAAATGTGCATTTTATTCCCATTTTACTTGTACACAATTCTTATTAAGATATTTTAGTACCGAATCGGGTAAAGTGTCGATAAGCGAAGCATAAAATTATCTAATCATAAGCTAAATCTCTGTCATTTAATCGTAAACATTGTAGAAGTAATTCAAAACAAATAACACTTTTCCTCGGCGAAAACTGAACAACTGAGCAACTGTTTTATACACATTTGCGATTCAAATGGATCTACAATCAACGCAATGTGCGCCCACTGTTGCTTAATTTAATTCAATTTGGTCGAAAACAGGTTGGTTTATTTTTAGCCCAACAATTTAACGGCACTCCGGCCGCGTCGGCGAGCATAGTAGGTCGCACCGCCTATCGAACCGCTCTTTCCCGGTGTAACTAGTTTCAGCCGGTTGAAGTTGCAATAACAATCGGACAATCGAGCTGTTTCCTCTTTCGAAGTTGGGAGCGAAATCGCTTAGATCCAGACCTTTCTCGTTCGGCATTTTATTGTGTTTTATTTTATAATACTTCGCGTTCGAGTTTAGTTATTGTTAATTCGTTAACTTAGCGACGATCTTGTTAGTTCTCGTCGCGATCGGCTTTGAAAATATGATTTATCGTTAATTTCGGTGGAACACAATAGAGTTGCGGGCACAGTGCGTTACGGGGTTTTAGTGGAAATACTTCGGGATTTAATGGTTAAATCATTTTGGAGCGCGTGTTTGGTTGTGGATTTCTGCCGTAGATGCCCACAGGAATGGTTGTTGCACCCCAGGGCGGAAAAGTTCTTCAAAAAAACAGTTCTTCTAGCTTGGATGAAGCTATGCCACAGCAATCGAATACCAGCCAGTCGAATTTATACATGCTATTTGAAAAGCAATATATTAGATGACATCAATTTTCTTCGTGTAGCTTTAAGGGCCGTCAAGAGAAGAGAGGATACCCTACTGAAAGATATTTATTTTTGTCACAGTCGCAGTTCCATCGCCCTTATCTGAAATGACCCACGACAAAAAACTTTATCTACTCGTACACACCATGACCATCACGGAGTATGATTTCATGGTTCAAGCGCAGTTTTTTCATACGTTCGACAATTTGGCACACATTGGTAGTGCGAGATTGATCGGAAAACGTCTCAGTTTGAGGGTCAATCCCCGATCGAGGAGAAACCGAAATAAGTTGCTTTTGCAACGATTGGACATGCCAAATTTGAGGACCATGATGAAAAGCAACTCAGCTGTTGTCAAGCATCACCTCCGAGCTGTTCCTATGTATGTCTGGATGTAACCATTTTAAGTAACTATACTTATACAGTTTAATAAGTAGTTACTCTTAAAAACTAACCAAAACCAATGCTGTAAAATGGCCGTCATTTAGATTTCATGTCATATGACCGTCATTTAAGGGTCTTTTAAGAGTTTAGTGGATATTTCTTAGTAAAATAAAAGATTTTTATTTATAACACCTCTAGATATATATTGCACATTAGTTTATGATAAAAGATATAAATAAAATAACATAGCACAACAAACTCTTTTCTTATAACTGGCAGGAACAGAAGCATAAGAAATTTAAACTTTTAGTTTGAAAAAAAAAACATGCAAGTATTTCCCAAAATTAAAAAATAATAAATGAGCTTGAGAACATTTCCTAATAGATACCTAATTTAATTAATTTTATCACATATCATCTCAATCTGGATCGGTTTTACTCTCAGATGTTTCTGTAATCTCTTGACATTCACCGGAATCTTCTTCGGGACCCTCTTGCATTGGAGAAATAAATTCACTAAATGGAGGCTCCAAAGGGCTTTTCAAACTATCGTTAAGTAGATTTAAATTATGGTGAGCCTATGTTAATTTTCCAGCACGCTCAATTGACAATCTATTTCTGCGTTTATTATGGATAAACGGGTGGCCACTGAATGACGTTTCTATAGATGATGAAGTTGGTATTTTCCTTAAAGGGAGATTTGTGCATATCCCATTCCGAAAAAATTTGAAGCAAAAAATGCTTCTTCAATTTGTGAATATACTCGGTGGTTTTTGCCCTTATAGCGAGGGTCCAATATATTGACTTCAAGACCTCTGACATTGCACGTCCATCGCTTTTTTTTCTTCATTCACCAGGAGAGGTGAATTTATTAATTCACTTTCATAAGGGTCATTCCCTTTCTTGATGAGCACAAAAATAATTAAAATGTATTAATTTTAATCCAAAATCATCAAGAATGTTGTCGACCGTTTCTATCAAAATCATTTGTTTCCTTTCAGCCTTTCAAGACCCATGACTATAGGCCCATCTAGGCAGGTAATTTCAGAGGACTCTCTCTCATTAGTTTTGAGTTTCTATTGCTGAATCCTCTAGCAAGATGCACCTAGAACTATTTTATTTTTTATTGTTGATATTATCAACTTAGCAGAGTTTATCATTAACAGAGTTGAGTTTCATAAGATCTCCCGTAAGCAAATTCTGTACTTGCGCCATACAGCCATAATGAGAGATGGGAAGCTCTGAATATTTTTCCTGTAAGCAGTCCGACGCTGTCGTCATAATTATCCGTAACACAAGCAACAATTCTAATCGGACGAGTTGCATCAAATACTTCACTTATCTTCTGACTCATATATTCCCCCGTATGTCTATTTTCCCCTGTTGAAAATGTTTTATAAAATACAGGCTTTGGGGTAGTGACTAGAAAATTAATAATACTTTCAATTCATATATTTGTCCAAGCATCGTATTGCACACCAATGAACTGAGCTTGAGTAATAATTTCACCAACGGATTCTATGTCGGCATAAACTTCATTCAATATAGGCCGGATGCGTTTGAAAGCCTCCATCCAATATTTACTTTCTGTTATCTTGAAAGGAGTTACCGAAGCATATATGGCTTTCGCAATATGTTTCCGTAAAGCTCCTTGTTCCGAAATTACAGAAGAAAACTTTCCAAGCTCTCAAGTTTAAAAATTTGTTAACAAAACAAAAAAGTGAGGCTATATTTTTAAATGACCGATTGGTCACAATCGATTGTGACGTGGTCATCAAGAAGGTCATCTGACCTACCCGCTGATCAAAACAATTTTTAGTTTATTTTTGTTGAAATTTTTTTGCTAGGATTCTGTTATTTTTCAGTGAACGCCTCCATAATGTTAAATTTCACTTAAAACCCATTTACACCCAACACTTATGCAGTTCGATAAAAAAAATTAAAACATTTAAATCGATATCCGAAACCCGAAAGAAAAACACGTTTTTTTTTTGTTTTGGATATTTTAAAGGAACGTTCATTAAGTACAAATGTTTCGCTAATGAAAATAATTATCTTTTTAAGAATATACAGTGCGCCCAGGATAATGACCCTATCCGATAATAATGCATTTTGTTGTCTACTGCGTTATTCCTTAAATGCTCTTGATCTTAATAAAACTGCGAATATTTTTTTTTCTTTTTTTTGTATTGCATTTCTATTTGTTGTTTGAATAGAATAGGCATAATTTCCAATATACAGTGTACCTCTAAAATACGGAAAAAATATAATTTAACAATAAGGTTCACACGTCCATCATGATTTTATCTTTCGCATCTATTGCAGTCCATAGAAAATATACAAGGTGGGTCAAAAAGTAAATGTATATATCGAGTTGCTTTTTCTTAAGTAGACGCCATTTGTCAAATTCATTTCCTGCATCATTAATTTGCCTTATTTCGTATCTAATTCAAAATTTTAAATTTTGCGGTTATTCCCTATACACTTGGATGTGGACATCTGGAGATCTTGCAGGACATTTTATTGATGTATTGTCTGTGAAATACCGTATTTAAAGGTTCACTCAAAATTAGGCCCCATCCTGTGATATCTGTCAATCTTGCATATCGGGCTGATTTGATCGAAGGAATAGGGTCCTATAATTTTGTTTTATTAAAATGATTTTTAATAATGATTTTCGAACATTCCATTTTTGCCGTACATCTCCTTAACCGGGTGTTTTTTTTTTCATTTTCTAAGAAGCATGTTACCATTGAAGCAATAAATGTATTCACTTATCTGAAGTTGGCCAATACTGGTTTAAACTGATATAATCGATAAACACACTCGCGAACTTTGCAATACCTGTTTCAAGGGTAATGAGTACTTAATTATTGTACAACTAAAACTGCCATTGTTTGTTTTGAATAGCTCAATTAAAAAGAAAAAAAACGTTTTGTTCGATTTTGCAGTGGATCCGACGTGTCCCAGCCCTCGCAGATTCCGCAGAACGACAATACGACCCAGAACCAACAACCGTTTGGTCAACGAGCCACCCCTGCCCTGCCACTTGGGCAAATAAACAGCGATAAAAAGGACGACTTCGTGGTCACCCAAGACAATTCCGCCGACGTACGTTTTAATTTTGCGGACGTTTTCGGACATCGTTGCCTAACGCTGGTCTCGCATTTTTAGATTTTCGAAGTAAAGGAACTGACCAAGTACGCCACCCCCGTCGAAACTGCGCACTGGTTGACGCTAAACCGTTTCGACAAATATCTGGAAACGTTTGCCAGTTTTTCCGGCTCGGACATGCTACGGATGTCCCGAGATGATCTGATCCAGATCTGCGGACACGCCGATGGAATTAGAATGCATAACATTTTGCATACGAAGTAAGTTGACCAAAGACATTCAAGTAAAGTGTCAGGGAAAGTTAAATTCATTAACTTGGCAACACCGCGTGCCATTTAAAATGATTTGTATTGCGAAGGTATGGTTGAGGACATAAAAAAAAAACTTTCCGCCTTCACCGGATCGGCACCAGTTCAGCAAATTAGAAATGAACTTAAAATATCATGGAAATATAAGGCAATCTTGAATAACTTTTGTTTTTCGAAGATATTTATTAAACATACGATAAAAAAACTCTAATTAATTAAATATCTGTAGTTGACTAGTCCTTGGTCACTTGCCAATATTTATTAATTAGACCAACGAAGATTCTGTGATTTGGTATTTTTCATAATGTTGGAGTGAAAGGGAGGGACTAAACTAATAGAAAAAACAATTTTTTTTGTTTCTATCGCGCAACATTTTTGAATTAATTTTTGTTTTAACAATAATTCTTTTAATGTTGATTAAAATATCCTTACGTGATAAAGGAAAATCAAATTTAAATTTACAAGGCATAAGAGTCATACAGAACCAACTGTCAGATCGAAATCAACTTTAAAAAGTTCAAAAAAAAAACAAAGATTTTGTGATTTACTCTTTACAAAACTTGTGGATTCCTTGAACTGAGGTGGCTTTTACTTGATGAAAATCCATTTATCAAAATAAATAAGAACTAAAAGTTCAGATTTTCACGAAATTATATATTTTGACGTGACAATTGTTTCGACAACACCGTGTCTTTATCAAATGTAATATTTACAAACTACCTGCTACTATTTATATCGAAAAATAACCATGAAACCTTAATTAATGTTGTTGTGAGAATTTAAGTTCAATAAATAAGAGGTATTTAAATCTAATTGATCGTTAAGCAATACATTTGATTGTCTCATTTTGTTAATCTCCATGGCTTCCAATAAATTGAATTTTCTACTTTTTGTGGCTGTATGTAAAATATCAAAATTGTCGTCAAAAATTTGTTTTTCTGCGTTTAAGTGTGTAGCATAATTAGAATCTAGACTATTGTTTTTAAACGCTCTTTTATGTTCGTTAATGCGTTTCTTTTCTTCTTTAAAAAAAAAAAAAAAAACTAAAACGAAATGTTCAAAATCTCAAAAATCAGGTGTGTACAGGTCGAAATGCGGATCTTGTCCTAAAATTTATATTGGACAAACAGGTAGATGCTTCAAGAAACGCATTAACGAACATAAAAGAGTGTTTAAGAACAATATTTTTGACAATTTTGATATACATACAGCCACAAAAAGTACAAAATTAAATTTGTTGGAAGCCATGGAGATTAACAAAATGATGCATCAACGATCAATTAGATTTAAATACCTCTCCTTTATTGAAATTAAATTGTATCGTGTTTTTATCAATGTTACATTTGATAAAGACACGGTGTTGTCGAAAGAATTGCCGTGTAAAAATATATAATTTCGTAAAAATCTGAACTTTTAGTTCTTATTTATTTTCTTCTGGATTCCTCCTGCGTCGGTTTTTGCTGAGTCGAACTTGCTGACGTTTCGCCAATCATTTTGTTGGCTTCTTCAGAGCTTGACTGAAACTGGCTCACATTTTACTCTGTACATGCTTATTTATTGTTTGAGAGGGACGGAGCTAAATGAGGGACATAAACACCGTCACGGATGACTGATTCCGATATTGGTGACAGTTAAAGACCTGAGTCGCGGTTAAGATTATTAGGTTGTTTATAGATTTCTATAGACTCCCGGATTTTCCGTTGGTAGAAGAACTGATTACATGCAAGAATTTTAATTTTATGGAATAAAATTTTATGTCCGGTTTCGTGGTTGTGTTCAGCAACAGCTGATGAGTTAATTTGTCTTTGTCGTAAGGCCCTTTCGTGTTCTTTGATATTGAAATTTTTCGTCCGATTTCTCCAATGTATTCTTTGCCGCATATGCATGGAATGCTGTCAACTCCTGACATCTCAAATGGAATTTTATCTTGGACGGAACGAAGATGTTGAGAGATTTTTGGACAAGTGATAAATCTGGTTTTCAAATTATGCTTCTTTAGAACTTTTGATATGTGGTCAGTGATATTTGTAAGGACCACAGTGGCAAGCGTATTTTTTGATCTAACGCTTAATATCTTTAATGCGGAAATTATTAGAGAGAAGAGCAAAGGTAAGGTGTTTTAATTCTGGGTTCAGTGACTAGGGCTGAAATAGTTTTACTGCTCTGCAAAAAAGAGAGTTGATAACCGATGATTTTTGGGCCGGATGGTGATGTGACCATGCATTAAGGTATCGGTCTGTGTGCGTAGGTTAGCTCCACCCCCTTAAACAATATATAAGCAGGTACTGAGTAAAATGCGAGTCAGTGTCAGTCACGCTTTGCAAAAGTCAACAGGATGATCGACGAAAGGTTAGCAAGTTCAACTCAATAATATTCAACAAAGGAGAAATCCAGAGGATTTGTAAATAGTGTCCTGCATTCTTTTCACTCTTTTAGAACTGTTCGAAAACACTTCTTGAATACTGTCGGAACAACTTCAGCAAACTTCAAGTTCCGACCCGTTTCGAAGTCTAAACAAATTTAGATGAAACAGTACAAACCAAAACTAGTTCTAGGTTCTGCTGTTACCAATCGCTAATATAGCTTATTGTCCATGGTCACGTCACTTAAATTTTAACGTTACGAATTAACGTTTTCCAAATTGTTTATTAACGCCATCGGGTTTGTCGCTTTCAGGACAATCGCGCCAAAATTGAAAATTTACGTGTGCCGAGAAAACGCGTCCATTTTCTACGCGATATTTTTATCGTCACACGACACCGCGGAGCTTCTACGAAAGTTGGCTGCCCTGGTCGCGATTAGCCAGGATCACGTAAGGGATATTTATGTCGAAGGTCCTCAAGGGATCCACATTCAGTTGAACGAAGACGTGTTACAGCACATTGACGACGAAGCCATGTTTACATTGACCGTCGTTCAAGATAATGGCAGCTTTTTATTCCTGCTTAAACGTAAAATAAAATAGGATAAAAAGATAATTAATTGTAGATACTCTCATTGTGTATGGGATGATATTATTTTCGACATTTTAACTTTAACGTTTAGGTTGTAGAATTAAGGCCGTCATTGTCAGGCTTTATTTTCAGAATTTGTAACCATAACCTGTTATAATCATTTTTTCCCAATTGAAGCGTGGTATATGTCAAAATATAACAAAATCAAGAAAAACTGCTTAAATTTACAATGGTTATAATGTTCCTAAAAATAAGGTAAATGCAGGATACAGAAACATAATATTTGTTAACTATCGCGACCTCATTAAAGTTATAAAAAATATATATACAAAAAACTCTAAAGTTGATTTGGAAATATCGTGAGTGCCTTAACATTGAACGTAGAAATGTCGTACGTGCTACTACAAGTAAAACTTAAAAAAACATAAAAACACCTTAAATAAGTTGGAAAAAAATTAAATTAACTTAAGAAAAGAGAAAAAACAATTATTGATTTAATGGACTTATTATCAGATATTTTGCTAATGAGATTACACTTCTGAAGCTGTCTAAAGTTTGACCGTTTTGTAAAACTGCTTTTTGTCAGAATAACCCTTTTTTGAATATACAACACCGGCCTTATTTTGCTCTTTTCTTACAACAGCTTTACTTATTTTAAGACTTGTTCTCTTAAAACAAGTATTAGTTGCTTCCTTAATATTCCAGAAACGATTTTTAAACATATCAACAAGTTTAAAAGGGTGGAGTATATTTGACCGATTCGATTACCTCGGTAACCGGAAACCTTTGTTCAATGGACGGAAATAAACCCTTGACTTCCAAGTTTTCCAAAGTGCAAGTTTCACTTTACCTGAACCGCAGGACTCCACATTAGCATGCGCAGTTCAGTTTTTCACACAAATTGTAATTGTCCACATTTGGGAATTCTCATTTAAATGTTGCACTATAAAAGTTGTGTGTTAACCCAGTGTTTGGGAACAACTTCTTAAAGGGTTTGAACAACCGATTAATGTTTAAGTGGGAGCGTAAGTACTGCTTAGTTGACTTGACTCTACCATAATGTTTAGTACATTCTCTATCGAAGCTAAAGAATTTTGGCTTCATATGATTTGTGCGCTTTTCAGTGTAACAGGTATCCCATAATTTCTTCTTGTGAACAAGTACGTACAAATTTTTGTAATACACAGAAAATGTTTCGGCAAGAGTTTTCTTACGGACGAGAACATTCATCATCATCTGTTGTTTGCTTTTTACTATTCGCAACCTCGTACGAGTCGTGACGACGTCTCTAAATTTTATACAAGTCAAGTCATATAAGACATGTACCCCGAACTTTTGAAAAGACTCGCTGTGTTTTGTAATTTCCACTCTTGTCCTGGAATTCGCATTTCCATGAAAACTATAAAAAGAAACTTACCTACTTACAAAATTGTTTCACTTGTGTACTAACCTCGCGTGCTGATTCTTGTTTTGCGAGTTTCAAAACACGGGTTTGGGTTTTATATGCTTTTCGAGAATATTCTACATTAACGCTCTCGTTCTCTAGAACAACTTGTATGTGCAGGTTTGTGCTGGTTTTCACTCATTTTTTTGTAAATTAAATGACATTAACTCCGTAGCGGAAAGCTAATGCAAACTGTCAAACGTTTCATCACAGACTATGAAAGCAGTCGCGTCGGGATTATACCACCTTTCACATGAAATTATCTCTGGGTATATTCGAAGTGGCATCTTTCGGCGCAATTTGCAAACGCAATTATTGCGATAAGGCACATATTCTTTTTCTTAGGACATGCGGCGGAGCACGTACGACAATTCTATCGCAAAATGTTAATATATCAAAAAATGGCATATACCCCCTTTGATATTTCAATCGCATCCACATCACCGTTATTGAGTGTAAAATTACTTATTTTATCGTGTTTATTTTTTTCTTGTTAGTTTTCATTCGTTGTTTCATTGTTTTGTTTAATAAGAATTGAATGAAACGACGCCATCTCAAACCGTTGTTTAAGACGAACGCAAGATCGAAAACAATTTCAATTTGAACTTTCTGAAACCTTGTAAAAAGTATTTTTTTACGATGTACGATGACTATCGGGGTAAAGACGATGGAAACAACGCAGCCGAAGAAAAATAGCGGCCCGGGCGCGTATTGACGGTCTTGGTGATCACATGACCCTAATAGGTCCAGGATTGAAATAGGCTACATTGCAATATAATGGCTTCCTAAAGATTTGCTTTAATATTAATTATCTAAAAGTCTTTGGAAACTTATTTTAGAGTCAGGTATTATTTTTTGTATTAGTATCAATTGTTTTAAACATATTTTTACGATCTACAGTTATTACAATCTTTTATTTACGAGTAATGCAATGTAGGTATTATTGTCGTCAAATCTTACAATCGATTTTAAACAAACTTCCCGTTAACCGATTTAAATGAAATTCGGTATAGTGATGTATGTATAGGGGCAGGGGGTGGCCAGGGTGTCTGAGGGCGTAAAAGCGAGCGTAAACGGGGTTGACACTTAAAAATATTTCTCTTTAACATTTTCTTTAAAGTATTTTCTGTATATTGCATTAGCTCTTCCAAAACATCCGTATTGTTTAAATATTTGCAATTTTTTTTAGAACTTTAACTTCAGAGGACACAAAATGCTCTATATGCACTGTAAATGCTAGGTCTTCTTCTATAACAATAGAGCCTAATATCAGCCCTAATATCAAATTTCATCAAATTTAAGTATATTTTCCATTATCTCAAATTAGCACCTACCGATTGTTCAGATTATTACTGTTACTGTAAAACAGCTGAATATCTCCCAGTGATGGAATTTTTTGGCATTTTCAAAGGTTTTTGTGTCTCTAGGCTTGTTTTTATCGACATCAGCTAAACGAACAACATTGGGCTGTGTTTAGGTGAAGTACTTCACCTTCCGATAATTTTGGCCTCTCACGAGCATATTCTTTGTACTCTCCTTTTTAACTAGGCACTTGTCAATCCAAATAAAATCTTTCTCTGCCGTTTCTTGACTTGTAATTTGCCCGACACCCAAAAACACAACAACATCGCGGCATGTTTGCACTGTTCTTGGTACTTTCTTTTACTTGGTTTTTATCACAAAAAAAAGGTTTTCTCAAACATTTTTAGTTATTGATAACACAAAAAATACAGTTAAAAATCGAGTTTCAAAGTTTAAAATACGGCGGTATAACCTACAAACACCGTTACCCAAAGACACAACTTCGCGGATAGTTTGCACTGTTGTTTATGTCACTTGGCTTTTACTACAAAATCCACACGGGCTTTTAAAACATTCCAGTTATTACTGACACAAAAGAAAATAAAAAAAACGAGTCACGTGACTTTCGCGCGGCAGTGCCGGTTTTTTTCGTCGGCTGCGGGAAAAATTGAATAAATCAGAGACGAGATAACAAAGAACATTTTATAGGAATATTTATAAAATTGTATGTTAAAGGACGATGTGTATGTTCTAGGAGGTGTCACCACTTTAGGGAACCTCAGAACAATTATAATAATTTCCTCCATGATTACTGGAAACTTCCGCATCGCCAAAAGCTTGTCTTGAAATTGAAAATAAGTGTATGAGCTTTAATTCGCCCATCAAAAAATTTTGTAATTAAAATAAAGATGTATATGATATTAAAAATGTAGTTATCGATTAAAAAAATTAACAAGGTAAATCTGCAAAACTAAATTATATTTATATAGCTTATAGTGCAAAGTGCGTAGGCGTGTCTTTAGTTGGTTGTCCGAATGTTGCTTAAGTACACTCGTTCGGGAAACCAATAACTAAACTTTAAATTGAGGTTTTTGCGTTCAATTTGTTCACTAAATTCCAAAGAATCTTTTTTTCTCAAAATTGTATATTATTCTCATAAATTTAGACGAAATTTTTGGCAATTAAAAAAACATTTGAACTAACCAATATTGAGGCGTTCCATTTTTTACATTTTGAAAAAAAATGGGCTGAAAGCCTTGTATAACACAAAATAATAAAAAAAGGTTATATGCCAGGTTTCTTTGGAAATTTTTGCAAAATTTAGATGTAGACATTTTTAAATATGAATACATTATTCTTTAAAAAGTTGTATCTATAGGGAAGGTATTGTGATCCAGGCAACTCTAACGCCGCCTATGAGTGCCTTAGGATAAAGATGAAATGAGTCTTCAATGTTATAACAATATTAATTATTATTGAGGTCAGAGGATATTAATAACAAAACAAGAGCTGTCAAATATTTACATTTTATACATTTTATCATAGATTTGTTATCGTTTTTGTTGTTAATTTTTACCTATAAATATTAATAAGTTAATATTTTAGTGTTTCTTTAAGAAAAGTGTATTTTTTAGGCTTTTGCCTCTTAGTTTTATATTAATTTTAGATTCTGTATCGAAACGTAAGTTCTGTTATCTACATGCATAAATAAAAATATCAATTTCTGCCTTAAGACGGCTGAAATAAATTTTCTATTTTGGAATTGAAAAAAGTAACTAAAATCGCAAAAGTTATAATTTATAAATCCTTGGTAATATGGAAATGGGATATGTCCACATCATATAGCTATTTTGATTGGAAGTATAAACGTTTTCATACTTGTAAATGTGCCTTTAAAAGTGTATATTTTTGTGCTGAAGAGTAATTGAAATATACTGGTAGAATTGTGCAAATTTATTTGTCCCAATTTTGATTTTTTTTTATTTTAGATTGTGAATGTCAATTATAAAATACTACACCAAAATTATTCACGGTTATGTTAAAAAATACCTTGATTCCAGTCAAAATCTGACATTCAAATTTTTGAGCAGTGAACATTATTATATACAACCTCATATATTCACTAGAATCCCATTATAAAAACAAACGGGGAAGAGAGATAGAGGAAATTCGATTTGCTCTCGGCTGGGCAAGACTGCTTTGGTCGTTGACCTATTTGTCACAGACCAACACGTAAAAGAAAGAAATATAACCAATATTCTATCCGCCGTGAACAGAGAAAACAGCGGGACCGGCACACTTAAACACTTTAGGAACAAAATCTATCCATCCAGAATGGATTCTGCCGGGGGCGAGGGGAGGTTAAACCGCCATGTGCAATGCTCCACCACAAAATCAACCTACACGGGAAAGGTAATCAAGTTCGTTCTGCTTAGTAGGTACTGGTTAAAATTTCTTCAAAAATTATACATAGATCAAATAAATTTACGTGGAGAAATTACCAATAATTCCGAAGAAAACTTGCAGCACAACTTAACCTTATACGATAATAACCTCATTTGTTTATCCGGTACATTGAAGCATTATTTAGTAAAATGATTTTAAATAACAATCAAGTCGAAGACATTTTAACGCACCAAGAATACACTAAAACTTTACTGTCGAGTATGCTCTATTTGAGTTTAGACAATGCAGAAAATGAAAAGCTAATTATTAACACCCTTAATAAAATGCTGGGATCGGCAAACCATCGCAGGGAAGGTTTGGAATACCTACGATTGGTAATCAACAATTGCACTTTGGCAACTATTGTTGACAATGCTTTTACTTGGATCAACCATTGTGTTATTAAATACAATGATGATATATTACGAGAACAAAAACTAGTACTTTTAGGTAGGTTACTAAAGATTTCCCGCAAAAGCATCTTTATTAATTGAGCATTCTATTCCAGCAAACATTGTTGAAATTGCTCATTTGGACTCTGACTTCAATAAAAAATTTGTGTCAGATTATATTGCCAAAATATTGGACAGCTGCTTGGTGACATCTCATGCAAACTCATATGAGCATCAAGCTGGTTTAACATTGTTAACTGCTTGCCTTAAATATTACCCTAGTTGGTTTACGTTACACAAAATTAAAATTGAAAACTATCTTTTAATTTTTTTGGATAGCAGTTCTGAAGATTTGGTGCAGAAATCAGCAGTAGCATTTCATTACTTGCAGCAGGTAATATCTCTTAATTTCTTAATAATGAAAGAAAATCGGGTATACCTGGTACTTTAGGTCGGTGGTGCTGGTGCAAACGGGATCAATCATAAAACAAACTTTACACAAAACTTTCACAAATTGTGTGGAACAGTTCAAAAACTGCTCAGCAATTTCTTTGAAGGGCAACACATGTTTTCTCCAGATATTTCAGAGGAATGCTTTGAGTTTGGTGCAGAGTCAGAAGTTTCATTGTTTGTATTAGAGAGAAGATTGAGAAACTGTTTGAAATTTATAGAAATAATGATAAGGTAGTTTTTTGAAAATGAGCTTTTCTAAACCAGTTTCAATGGTTCTGCTTTTAGAACACGATTTTCAGTGGCTAAAGAAATTAAACCAAAAAAATTGATAGAGCTTATTGCAAAAGGTATGTTGGTGCATAAATGTGTGAGCAAAAATAATGTGGAATCTGTAGAGGCTTTCCAGTTTTCACTGTTGTTGTCGAATATTCAAACAAAGCTGCTAAACCTGCTGAGGGTTTTTATTTTGTGGTAAATTGATTCTTAGGTTTTTCTTTTGTGTTAACCTTTAGGTTTCAGGCAGAAATCTAATATTTTGATGTTTTCTTATCCAATATCCAAAGTTATTGTAGATGCTCTCGAAAGAAGTCAGTCATGTGATTGTTTCAAATATGAAGGGTAAGCTATTATTTCCATTTTTGTTTAAACATGTAAAAATTGCAAAATTTATTATTTTTTAAATATTTTCAGCATCTTTCAAGAATCAGTCTACAGAACACTTGGAGAATGGATAAAGGTTCTTAAAAGTTCATTGCATGTGCATTTTCAGACTCAAATTATCAATTTCGTGTTAAAAGATATCACGCCAGTAACGACTTCCGTGTCACTGAGTATTTCGGAAGCGGCGACTAAAAATAAAAGTGCCAAAGCCAAAAGAAAATTTGTCGAAAACAGAATAATCGCTAGTGGGTCAACTTTGTCACATCAAAGGTGAGGATTTGATGGATTATTTTATTGGGCTGCAGGAAATATCCTTTTTAGCAATTCCACATCAGTTGTAACAACTAATGAAGCGAATAGGTGTAAATTTGCGCTGAAGTGTCTTGAAATTCTACTGGAACATACGAAACTGAGTGTAACTGCTAATTTGCTTCAAACTCTTTATAAATCAGTTTTCGACACACTAGCTACTATTGACACATCAACAGAGTCCTTATTTCCCTACACAAAATCAGAATGCCTAATCAATCTTTACAAAGTGCTAGTTGCTTTCTATCATCAAGATAATCTCAGAGTTTTGCCACCTCTACAGACGACTATAAAGTTTCTTGTTACGGGGATTAATAGCAATAACAGGTCCATAGCGGAAGTGTGCGAACATGGTATAAAAATACTGGAAATCTTATGCCAACCCGTTTGTCCCACATTGTATGTGGGTAGAGCCAATGAATTAGATGACCTCGACGCAGATTCAGAGGAGATGCCATCTTTATTAATCGAGGAAGGTGAGTGCCTCGTTTTTCCGAGTTATTTACATAATATCATATTATAAGCAATTAATTAGCAATAAAATTTATCGACACAAAAATTAACTCAAGGCACCTCAAAATTTTTTCACGCTGGGTTCAAAAGTGCCCATATTATCAAAACTTCTTTCATTTTTTAACAACTTAGGTTCAGAACTAAAATCCGCATGAAATAACAAACTCTTGCAAGGTCGCATATAGTTTTTAGAGCTTTATAAGGAAGGTTTCAAAGCTAGAAGCTTTAGACGATCTTTTAGAGCTTATAGAGGAGCTTTTAGAGCTAGATCTTTTAATGGAGCTCTTAGAGCTAGAGGTTTTAGAGGTGCTTCTAGAGTTGGAGCTATTGGAGGAGCTTGAACATTTAGATGATCTTTTAGAGCTTATAGAGGAGCTTTTGAAGCTACATTTTTTAACGGATCCTTTAGAGTGAGAGGTGTTAGAGGAGCTTTTAGAGTTAGGACTATTGGAGGAGCTTTTAGACCCAGAATCTGACACGACCATTTTTGTTAGGAAATCAAGCCCTTTTCCATATTTTCCTGCTTGTTTCAATAAAAATTAAAAATTCTTTCTTATAGATGTAGTGTCTAGACATTCACCCATTTCCTTAATGGATTCTGAAGTTGCAATAGTAAGAGAAACAACATCTGAACCGGACGTAGACGTAGACATAGTAGAAATGATATCAGAAACAGTTGAAGAAGATTCAGTAACTCTTAGAGTGGAAAAAAGTCCAGTCACGACTGCCTTCGATGACAGTAACAGCAAATGCGCCTATACCGAAGCAGAGATTAACAATCAGAATAATATAAATAGCGAGTTAGAGAGTGAAGCAAATAGGGAAGAGCGAGTCACATCGCAAAGCGAAAACGTACTGAACGCATCAGACGACAACGCAGGCGAAAATGAAGAAATATTAAGTAGGGTGTCTGCCACCGAAGAAGAAAACAATAGACCCGCGAGTGAACCAAATAATGAGCAAATTACGGAAGAAATATCTTCAGCTGTGACAGGTGAAGAACCCCCGGCGAAGAAACCCCGACGTGAAGTGCAAGATAAGGATGATTTGGAGGATATTTTTGAAGAAAGGGGGGCGTTACCTGATGACAGTTTGGTCGAGGATGATTCTTTCGTGGACGAAATCAAGGAGTATTAGAAACGTTTTCTTCCATGTTTTTGACGGGAAGCAAATGAAAATGTTCTTTAAACCATTAAATAAAAAATTGTGCCGTACTGCTTTTTTTGAATCACTTACCTTTCATTGATGCAGAGACTTAATGTTTTCGGGGCTGCTGCTCTCTCCCAGGGAACATTAAACAACTACTTATTCAAACTAGGGGGATCTTTATTGCCTTGACGTAAACGTATCCAAACGGCGTGCAAAACGCAGCGGTCCTATTCGTTCGTTCTTTCACTCCCGGAAACAGCTACCAACGAACAGCTTCTGGCCCCATGAATTTCCGCTGCACAAACTTGACCCCCCGATCTTACCTCACCTAACCTAACTTACATCCTCTGTCTTTCCCCTACGCTAATGCACGAGCACAAACTCGTAACATGCATCGACAACAAAAATTCATCAACCACCTTACAGGCGGGTCAATTACAAGGTAGTTCCTTGAACGGTTATTAATGGAAATCGTCTCCAGTGCTGTTTATCAAGTTGCTACTAATTTTTTGTATGCCTTAGTTTGGGAAAAATTGAAAATAACGGATAAAAAGCAAGTTCTCGCATTTATTTATATTTTTTGATAGGTAACTGATATTTTATAAGAGCTGGATAGTTTTAAATCTAACAAATCCAAAGAAACATCCAGTAAAGACTGTTTGGACATTTGACAGGAGCTAAAAAAATTACCACGGTTCTTCCATGGAGGTATTCATAAACGTAACATTATTTTCCGGCAGACAAATACTCGACAGTAATTAGTAAATTATCAAAATGTCATATAATCTCGATGCCGATTCGGTATTTTGTTCGGTCCAAATCGAAGATAATAAAAAACGACTATTTCTTCGTGACCTTATCTAGCTCAACAGAACGACTATGATTGCTGCCAGCCGGGCATCTCACTGTCAGACTGTTAATCAACATGTGTATTTAAAAAAAAACGACACTTCCTGTTTGGGAGCTGTGTGTCATCTCCTTAATCTGTGGTTAAATTTTGATTGCAATATCTGAATCAGTAGCGTCGCAACACAATTTTATAAGGGGCAATCAAAATATAATTTTAATAAACAATTTCTGCCTAAACTATGCAAAATTCAAATAGCAATTTCTTAAGAAAGTGGCCTTTATTTTAAGCAAGGATTGCAAAAATGCCGAAATACACAGGGTGTTCCATTTAATATAACAAAGTTGATGTCGGGAGGGGAGCACTTTTGGGACACCCTGTATCAGCAGAATTATAATATTTTAAATCTTCAGTAGAGTCTTTTTAGTAAAAACTTTTTTTTCGTATCTCCTATGGGTATCCAGATCGTATAGTGGATCGTTTTATTTGGTACACGGTTTATCTGATTCTTGAGCTTTGACCCTGCGAGGCTGCTTTCACTGCATAGTTCAAAGGGTAAGGGTAAGTACCTGTACTCTTAGATAGTAAGTCTTCTTCGATTTGTAAACAATAGTCTTTTTTAAGGCTATAGATTATATTCGCGGTTCGTTAACACAACAAAACAGACATGAAATCTTGAGATTATCCCCGTATCAGAGATGATTCGGCAAGAGGTAGGAAAAATATCAGTACAAAGCTGGTTTAACTATGAAAAACGAGCAATAAAAGAAGAAAATATTTATCGAGAACGATTAGTGGCCTACTTGATCATTGAACTAGGTGACGATAGTAGCGATAGTGGCGATTTTTTAAGTGACTGATACTTTATTATTATTATATTTAATATTTTACATATTAATAATGATACTATGTAGAAATGTAATGAAATAGAACGCAATAAATTGAAAAGATCGAAAACGTACTTATATCGCGCTTGTTAGTGTAGGTAGATTAATTGCTAGGACGGTCCTGGAATGGTTGCTAGGCCGGGTGTTCTAGAAGGGCTTGGGTTTTAAACAGTAATACACAGTAGGTAAAGTTAATCACGCGGTCACGATATTTCTGGTCATGGTATACCTACTATAACAGATATCATTATCAAATGTAAGTACGCGTTCTAGACTATCACTGAAATGATTGTTAATACAAATTTATATAGGTGTTAGTCACAGTTAATGTCCAATATTTAATTCAAATTTTATTCTTCTCTTTATGAATGACGTAGCTCAGGTAAAATCTAACTGCACAATTAAGATCCATAAGAGACTGCGGGTTTGGAGTAATAAACAGTAGCCAAATTTAATCACGGAATTGTAAAAAGACAATATTTCTGGCCATGGCATAACGTTATTTATTTAGACATTGTTTGAAAAAAATGTAAACTTTTCACTAAGCATTTTTTTAATATGCTACGCACCTACCGCGTTCCCAATTTTTACACTACCATTAAGAAAAAAAAAGATTAATATGGCTCGAAGTTGTATTTCCTCGCTTGTGTGATATTGGTCCGCGTCACGAAGCCTCTCCTAAAACTGTTCGAACTCGCAGTGGTATTTTTCGTGGCCAAAGATTTCTGCGTGCGAACCGCGCTTTGACTTTCCGTCGAAAATTTTTCGTCGCCGCCATTTTTCGTCGTTTTATTTTGCCGTTTGTCGATACCGATCGTCGGCAACGGAATTTTCACGTAAAGCACGTCGTCCGGTTTGTCGGAATTATTGGCTATGTGGTACTGGACATTCGAAAAGTCGTTGGTCTTGATGACATCGATTAGACTTTTGATCGCCGTTATTTTCGAATTCTTCTCCGCTTTACTTTTCCTTGTTGTTCTCGGGTCGGATTCCGTGTTGTTCGGCGGCATTTCCTTGTGCAGGTACGATACTGGCCATCGTCTAGGCAGACCTAACCCTCCTAAAATAGAAGAGAATATCTGAGTCCGGGACTATTATCTAGTGCACCCGAGAGTTTCTAGCCATTTCGGAGAAGGTTCGAAAGATTGCGATGGCGTAGCCCATTTACCTGCCAGTGTTCTACCTTTGTCTATTAAGCCCCGGTGTCGTACATTCGACAGAGATAGCACCAATTACCGGATAATTGCAGTAGTTTTTACTACAAAATAGGGTTAGGGAGTAAAGTCTGTTCATAGATATAAGAAACTGATACGAATTAAGGAAAGAGCCGGGCAAGCAAGAATGAAATATGGCCGAACAGGTCCGTACTTTGCTTAGAATTTAATTATTTGGGGTTTTGTTAGGAAAGATACTAAACAATATTTATTTATTTATGTATGTATTTATGTTTAAATTTAAAATAAAATTACAAATTATTTTTATTACCTACTTAAATTACTTTAAATTATTCACATAATATATCAGTATCACTACCGCTATCATCGCCTGTTCTAATTATTATTTGTTCTATATTATTTGCAATATGGATACACGATTGTTCTGTTTTTTCTATATGTTTAACAGAATTTGCCCAACTTTGTGAAGGGATGTTAAAAACTTCGGTTTCTATAAGTTTGAGGACATTGAAGTTAACACGGGGAAAAACAGTGTTACGACGAATGGCAGATTTCAGTTGGTGCCAAACATGTTCAACGGGATTAAATTTACCGTGGTAAGGTGGGAAGCCTTAAAACTGTATGCCTTAGATTTTTTGCATAATTATCACAGACGTATTCCTTCTGTAGGTTCAAGCTTTGTAGAACCTCAATTATCATAATAATTGGTATATTCTTCGTGAAAATGAATATCGTTATTATACATGTAGTTTTGGATTGTTGCTTTTGTGATAACTTGCATTGTCCATTACAGTGCAATTACGCTATTAGGAGGAATCTTTGGAACTAGTTTGTTTTTAAACCAAATTTCAAATAAACCAGCGGTTGTGTCTTCATGGTGATCCAGAGAAGAATCTTTAATATTTTTCGCAGACAGAAAAAGTCCATTTGGAATCCAACCATATTTAGAGCCAGCATGCAAAATAGTTATTCTTTTACCTCTTTTTGATGGCGCGTTTGTTTTACACTTATCAGTTGAGTCAACCCAACCCTTTTCCGGGGTATCATAAGTATCGAACCAGGTTTCATCCAAGTAAATAATTGGCCTTTGTTGTTCTCTGTAAATCCTAATTTTTTCTAGATATTCCAGTCGCCATTTCCGAATTCTAAAAGATTCCATTTAAACTTGCCTTCTTCAATTTTTTTAAATCTAAAACCCATGTATTGAATACATAAGGTAGTTCTGCCACATTTAACACCGGTTTCATCTTTTTCTTTCCTCCTAATTAAGATATCTATCTAATGTATCTAATATCTATATAATGTAGGCATGCTTTGTTCCTCATATAACTGTATTACGCCCTATTACATCTTGGTCACTTTCATCTACACTCGCTTCGCATCTCAGCATCGCTTCTTTTTTTCCTCGCTGAAATGGGATTATCACAATTTTCCACACAGTTGATGTTGGAATTTTCGTCAATGTGGTCGTTTCTTCTAAAGATGCTTGCTTGCTGGCACCACGTTCAATGAGAGTTAAATAAACATTGTTTATAATTTCCTTAGTCTCAGTGTTTTCTACATTCTGGCGGGAGCATCTCCTGAGATACACTAGACTCGCACATATTTTGCATAATTCGCACACGATTTAACACGCGCTGTATTACACACGAAATAAGAATGATTGATAAGAATGATAAACTTAAACTAAGTAGTATACCAAACCAAAGAATATTAAACACAGGTAGGTATAAAATTATTTTCTATTACGGACCACAATTTTATCTGAATTTAAATTCCGAAACTTTAGGTGGACAGATCACACGTCTGTCCTTGTATATATATATAATTTTTTTTATTATTTTATTTTTTGGTAATTTGCAAAGAGAGAAAGTTTTCTTATGTTTAGTCGGGTTTTTGGGACAAATAATTTTGTGCGTACTCAAATAAAAATTTAAGTTGCTGGAACATTTTTTACCGCGGTATTGCCGTTAAAGTTTTTTTTGGGTCAAGCCGATCGGGAGTGCATTAACATTCCGTGTGCGCCAGCAGCGAGATCTGTGGCGCGTTTTCCGCGAAGGGAACTTTAATTCTAACGATTTTCGTTGTGCGTTTTTATGTTGTCCGTGGCGTAACACCAGTAAGTTCTGCGAATTGAGTAGCAAAACTTACAGCAAAGAGGAAGCAGGCCTGCTGAGGCGACGGAGGCGCGCGCTTAAGGTGAGACCTTAAAGTTCTTTGGCGATCGGTAGTGTTTCTAAATCTTTAAAGCCTACAGTCCACTTTAAAGCTCTACCGAGCTCACCGCCCCTTTTCTTTTGATATCGGTGGTTACTCCGCGAAAAGAAATTATTAGGTAATAATCTTCTTGCATTGTATGATAATGAGCACCCTTGGATAATCCCATTCAAAAGTAATTGGTCACTTTCTTATATCTACGAACACACCATAAAATATTGAGGCACTTCCTCTGACTGACCGACAATGTCATCGCAAATCGTACGGACTATACTGCAATTTTAAATCATGTATACACTACGCACCTGGTTTTGGAGGGCTTAAAAATTGATCGTCGAATTGCGTCTCGTATTCGTCGAGCGTTGGTTGAATGGGCGGGGTCAATGGACTTGCCGCAGGTCTATCGGGTCTAAATTGCGGCCGATTGTTTGGCTTTGGCAGGTAGTTTCGGTCTATGACATTGTGACCGTAAGGGTAATAACTGTCGCTGCATTTCCTCCATTGCGATCTTGCAGGACCAACGTAACACCTTCGAAATAATGCCATAGAAAAAAAAATGTTCTCTGGAATATATTTTAAGTCACAATGGAATATATATTTGTTCTGGAAAATAATTTTATAGAAGATAAGGTAAGATATATGTAGATAAGACTAAAAGAAACAATTTACAATTGATATGTTGGGACCGAAACTTATATTTTTAACATGAAACACTCTGTATATTATTGCATTACCATATTCTCTCTCTTATACACAATTTCCCAATGTATTGTTGTTATGGTCTATACTGAGTGTTTTCGGATTTATGGCTATTTTTTCGTCAAAAATGCCGTGTGTTTCTCACTCATTTCTGGCGCCATTTGCGACAGCTGTAATTTTATTATGCCAAAAATTCTATAAAATAGCAAAGTATTTATCCTCTACTTGTCTTAAAGTTAGTTCGAATCGTTTATTCAGGGTGAGGAAAACTGAAAAATATTAATTTTCGTGAAAAAAATCAAATGGACATCCTTTCAATTTTGTTAAGCATTTCCTATGCCTAAATTTAGTACCTTTTTAAAGTTTACACATTTTTACGAACAAAATCCTGAACATTTTGAAACCATGCGAAAATATAAGAAAAGATTGAGAATAAAATAAATATTAGCTGAACGTGAAAAGTCCACACAGGCGAATTACTATAATAGCATGTATGAAAAAACAATTTAAACAGTATTATTGTTAATAGTTGCAGAAAAAACATAATATACAGGGTATTCTATTTAAAAAATATAAATTTGATTTCACACAAATTTATAAATCACCATGTATAATATTTGAAAATAATTTTAAACTGTTTAGTCTCATCTACAACTTTTGTATTTAACTTTTTTTTCTTAAAACAAATTATAAACGAGACATATTCTTTTGACACTTTTGAAAATAATATACGGCGCATTTAACAATCGAGTTTTGTCAATTCCTGAGCGATTTTAAGATGAAAACTTAAATCAATATGTTGTAAACGCAAATCACCAGTCCACATTGGTACATCAAATTTCACAAATTTCATGAAGATTTCACACGTTTTTACTTTTTAAGTAATCTACAAACATTTTTTTGTATTACATTGTAATTAAAGAAACTGTTACCTTAAAATAATATGTAAAAAATACACTTAAGATGTGGGGAAGCATATGGTTAGTGTTTAATTAATAAATATAAATGAAAATAAATTTTAAAATGATTTTTTTTTAAAAGATTATATTTTCGAATTTTCTTCAGAATATATCTTCTTAGTATTTTCCTTTTTCTTCAAATTCAATTAAATAATTTTCATTATGGTACATTTAATACATTTAGTTAAGAATTTCGAAAATTTCGCCGATAAAAAATTACCATTGAAGCCGAATGGAAAAAATATTTCTTATGACCTTACCCTATTGTTTATTATACCTTTAAAAATGCCAAGTGAGTTTGTTGAATTTAACAAAGGTCAAATAAGCTCAGTTTAATTTTATAACACCTTAAACGCAATCTACAAATAACGTGACAATAGTTGTTTAATCACATATTGGAAGTTTTTTTAAATAAATTTGTTGATTCTGTTGAAAGTACTCACAGATAACAAACAACTAACAAACCATTGTCGATTTTTATTTTTTTACAAGAAAGGAAGTTTAATAGCCAAAAATAGGTTTCCAACGATAATTTCAATTGTTAGAGAAAATATTTCGTCAAATAAATCAGTTTGAACCCCATATGGACGGCTCTGGTAAAACTAAAGAGGAAATAAAAATGTCCCCAAAACAAAAATACGGTAAAAAGTGTTTTTTTCTTACTAAAGCAAAAGCTCCATTATAAAAGATCCCGCTGAAAATTTTTCGGCAAAGTAAATTTTCGACTTGTAATTGTGTGCATGAGGTGTTGTTGATCCGAGAAGGACCGTTTGTAGCTATGTATATTATTTACCATTCGTACGGGTATCCGTTGGAAACACCACACTGATGGTCCGGTCTGCAGCAGTAGTCCCAAGCGCTCTTGTCGCCTCCTTCCAATTCGCAAAACCAAAAGCCGGCTTCCAGATTTTCTTTACACAAACTACCCCTGCGGCAAGGCCACCCGCTTACACTGTACACCCTCCATGTATCCAGCGCGTTGATGAAGTCTGCAACCGTTCAACTTAAGAATGAAGCTGCTAATCTAGTCAAAATAAACATTTGACCTAGCCAAAATTCGCATAGAGCCAAAAATTTTCAGATACGTTAAATGCACCATCATACATATGTATACATTATTGTGTAAATAGGTCTGGTAAAAGTTGTAGATCATACAATTATCTTCAAAAATTGTTTAATTTTTCAACTATTGGAAAATTAATACACACGTCATCGGACGTTCAATATAAATAAAAATAATAAACTATGGCGTTACTTACTGAATAAAGCTTGTATAAATTGAACGAGTTTTTAAAAAGAAACGACTATACTGTCAGTCCCTAATTCCTTTAGTCTGTAACTTTGAGTAACATCTGCTAGCTACGTCTTTGTTGGAGTGTGGAGGGTCGTATACTTGCCTATTTTTGAAGGAAGTAAACGAGATTATTCGGTATACACCCTTGGTTTTGAAAATTTGTTTGCAGTGAGCAATGATTGGTAATATTTTCAATTTTAATTTGTGCTGTCAAATAGCTTTGAAAGAAAGTGAAGTTGTTGTTGTTGATCGTGGAATGAAAACTTTGATTCATGCAAGTGTTGAAAGAAATGATAAGTTATTTGAAGATAAGCAGTCTGTGACAGTCCACGTGCAGTATAGTAAAATGTACACTCGAAGGACTAGCATAAGTGCAGCTAAAATACAACGTGAGACAGAACAAGGTAGTACATTCACGATAAGTCCAGCTCATACTAGAGCACAAGTGTGCCAGATTTCAACTTATTATTCATTTTGTGACCATGGAGCAAATGAAGAAGCTGAAAGCGCAGAGTGTTTATCGTAAAATATATAATGTTTCGACACTGAAATTTAAAGATTCCATTTTAAAGGTAGCTTGGACGCGTTCTGAGGCTAAGTATCAGAATAATTTTTGGCGTCTGAAGTCGATCGTCCTGAAGTAAACTTGGCGATGGAGGAAATATTTCAATACATTGAAAATAATGATGATTGTCAGTTGTCTTGTCTACCTCCAACATCTGCTTCTGGGGTCGGAAATCCACAGGTAATTATTTGGAGCCAATTCACACTCTAGTCCCGCCTGCTCCAGGAAAACTGCTCAATACTATTTTCTGTAACTACGAGACAGGTTGTAGTAAGAATTGTGGCTGTCAAAAAGTGGGATTATTTGCTTTCTTGCTCCAATATTGAATCAAGTACAACAGAAGAAATTATTTATGATTCTAATGAAGAGATAATTGATGCATCCCTTTTCTTAGAACAGCGAACAGAGATTCTGCAAGAAGAAGAAATAATTGTTGAAGTAGTAGCAGACAATTATCTATTGTAACAACATTTAGAAGAAAACAACCTATTCCATACTTCATAAATAAATAAATTTTCTTCATTGCAATGGGTAGTGGAGTAGTGGGGAAACCACGTCAAAAAAAAAGCGCCAAGTGCATTACCTGGCAATGTGTGCATATTATGTAAAATATGAATTTTCTAATAGTTGAAACCACGATATCTCACGAATGGTGAGTAGTGAGAAAAAAAGTGCCTCAATAATTTTTGAAGAGAATTGTACGATCTACAACTTTCGTCAGATCTATTTTCACGATAAAATTTAGCGTTTCCGAGAAAAATAAAAAAAAAACTCAATTTTGTGTGATTGAATTTGAATAAAATTTTTTGCACAATTCGAATCGAAGGGTCTCTAGCAATTTTCAGCCCTTTGCTAATTTTGCCCAAGTTTTGACTTATATTTGTTTTTGTCTATTTTGACTGGATCGTGAGTAATAAAACGATATGCGATACCTAATCCGTATGTTTCGTCTATTTTCCTGCGATCGGATACACCGTTGTAATAAGCTTTACTTATTATCTCGGTACATTCGGGATTGTAATTATCCCAGGTAAACAACCAAGAGTCTTTGTCGCCGACGTAGTCCACATTTGGTAGCAAATCTCTTTGCACGATGTCCGATAGGTAACAGTTGGGCGCTAAATGTGGACCTCCGGTTCTAGTTTTTAACGAGTTAGTCTAGGAAAGGTATTAAAAAGAAAACGTTTACCTATAGCTGAAAGTCATGCATCTAAACAGTGTACCGTCTCTGGATTTGGAACATTCTTGTTTGCAATCGAGCTCGGTCGGCACGTAAACTGATTTTCTGGTTGCTTGTGGTAGTAGCCTTGCGGCAGAGCCAAAGCCGATGTAGCACACTGTGATTAGAATAGAATTGTATTAGTTATAAAAATCAGAGAAAATCAGTGAACAATCTTTTAGTCAAAGCTAGATTTAACTTTTGTACCCAGTGGTGTTGTGGCAGTTTCCTTAACCAATGAATTGAAAAAAAGGTACGGATCTTTTGAAATAGAAATGGCGAGCATTTTTGTAATCTTTTTCCTATGCTACCAAACTTTCTCCTTTTTGGATTGCTCTTTGATGTAACATACCCCATACTTAAATTCAATCTTTTGGATTCCTCTATTCTGTATTGTCTGTTCATAGAAATAAGAAAGTGAACGTGGTGCCAACAAACAAGCATCTTTAGAAGAAACGGCCACATTGACGAAAATTCCAACATCAACTGTATGGAAAATTGTGAATAATCCCATTTCAGCGAGGAAAAAAAGAAGCGATGCTGACATTTTCTCGAGTGTAGATGAAAGTGATCAAGATATAATACGGCGTAAAATTTACCAGTTATACGAGGAACAAAGCGTGCCTACTTAGATATCTTAATTAGGAGGCTTGAAAAAGATGAAACCTGTGTTAAATGTGGCAGAACATGGGTTTTAGATTTAAAAAAATTGACAAAAGGCAAGTTTTAATGGAATCTTTTAGAATTCGGAAATGGCGACTGGAATATCTACAAAAAATTAGGATTTGCAGAGAACAACAAAGGCCAATTGTTTACTTGGATGAAACCTGGTTCGACACTTATGATACGCCGGAAAAGGGTTGGGTTGACTCAAGCATTCCTCCTAATAGCGTCATTGTAATGGACAATGCAAGTTATCACAGTAGACAGTTGACTAAAACCCCTCCCTCATGTGACACAATAGGAACAATCCAAAACCACAAGTATAATAACGACATTTGTTTTCACGAAGATTATACCAAAATTGAACCTACAAAAGGAATACGTCTGTGATAATTATGCAAAAAATCTAGGGCATACAGTTTTAAGGCCTTAAGACCTTACCACTGTATATTTAATCCCATTGAACATGTTTGGCACCAACTGAAATCTGCCATTCGTCGTAACAATGTTTTTCCTCCAGTTAACTCGAACTTATAGAAACCGAAGTTTTTAACATCCCTCCGCAAAGTTGGGCAAATTCTGTTAAACATATAGAAAAAAAAAGAACAAACGTATATCCATATTGCAAATAATATAGAACAAATAATAATTAGAACAGGCGTTCTTAACGATTCTACGATTTACCATTCTTTTATGTGTTTGTTCCAAAACCTTCGTCTTTGCCTCACCCACTTTCCTTTTTCTTGTATTCCGCACTGCTGTCTCATGTTTTCATTCCTTATTCTGTCATACAAAGTTTTACCCCGTATAGTTTATAATATTTTCATTTCAACTGTTCTCATCATTTGTAGGGTTCTGTTCGTATTTACTCTTCTTACTTTCAAAAATCGATGAAATCAAATTTTCAAAAGTATCTGGGCTCATAGAAAAAGTTTATATATCCGTAACGGTAAGTCCTACGGGATCGCCGTTGGTACAAAAATGATCACCGTAAAAAAAAAAATTTTTTTTGTCTGTTCGTTCTCCGTTCTCCGTTCTCGTCTTTTGGTTATTCCTGAATAACTTTCGAATCGTTGAAGCTACAAAATTGAAATTTGCCTCCTTTTCAAACATCCACGAGGCACATAAGCTTATAAGAAATGGCCCTGATCCGATACCGGTATCCATCTTTTTTTCGCGATTTTCGACTGTTTTTTTTCACCTGGCTGGAACACGATAAGTGTCCGAAATTTGAAGCAACCGACTTCATATTTGGCACATAAATGCAGCTTTGCCTCATGACGAAACCTATTGAAAATGGGAGGGCTGGGGGTTCGGGAAGTATTTAAAAAAAAATAAAAATCGCATGTGCAAGGGTCTACAAAAACGACCATTTTTCAAAAACCGTTTACAAGACCGAAAATATTCTTGAACTAGAAGACGCAGAGGAAACGACTCCATAAACTTTTATTCTTGACAATTTTTCAAAAATATACAGGGTGCGCCGCAAATTCAAAAAAACTGAAAAATACGTCCTCTTATTATTGAAAATTGGTATCAAAAGTGGTACAAACAGTGGCTAATCCGTTCAAACAGTGTTATAGGCCGTATCGAGAGCTACAATTTTTGTATTTACGGTTTTCGTCTATCACATACGCTGTTCGAGATATTTGAAATAATCCAACTGAAAATCGCTATTTCTCGCCCTCAATCTAGCGATGACGTCATTTAATATTACCTACGACATTTGATAAAGACACGGTGTTGTCGAAACAATTGTCATGTCAAAATATATAATTTCGTGAAAATCTGAACTTTTAGTTCTTATTTATTTTTTTTTACCACGTATTGAATGGTTTCAGAATACAAGTAGTTTTTTGAAAACCATTTCGAACATTGTTGGAGTTGTATACAGGGTACGTCGTTCGTAGGCAAAAAATTCTAATAGGTCCTAGAAATTTCCGCTTTTGTGGGTGAATTATTGGCGATACATGAAAAACTTTTAAAGATGTGATAATTTCATATGAACGGTATCGTAAACTGTGTCGAGAGAGAGTTTAAGGTACAGGGGTCGCAAGATATTTGGAAAAATGTAATTTTAAATTGCAATTACCAGTACAAATTTTAATATTTACCGAAGTGTGCCGTAACTTTGAAGTTCGACTAGATGTGAAGGACATTTTATGCAGGGCGTATTCACAATCAGGTTACATCGATGTTGCGAAAGTTTCATAGTGGTCCGTATTTGTTCTTCCATACAATTTCTTTCAGATATCCTGCTTTCATTGTTTGCTCTATTACTTCATTCTATTATTTTCTATTATTTTTGAATCGATTTCCAGTCTAAATGAATAAAATACAGGGAAAATGAAAAAAATGTTGTAGGTAAAGTGCCCTCTAGTGACAGATTTACTAAATCAGGGCTGTGTGCAAAATACCAGCCTACTTCGTTGAGTATTAAGGCCACAAGACAAGCTATAACTCCACGTTGTTTCTTTCCTTCAAGTTTCCGAAATCACCCGGACCGGACGGCATCCCCAACGAGCTTTTAAAATATGGAGGCCCCGAACTCGCAAGGAGACTAACGCAACTATTTGACAAAATCTTAAACAAAACGGAAACACCAGACGAATGGCATAAGCATACCTGTATTCAAGAAAGGACTAAAAACCTGCCCAGAAAACTATAGATGAATAACTCTCCTGAATACGGCAATGAAACTCTTCACGAGTATTCTCAAGGACAAACTGGAAGCACAAATTAAGAATGCTGAAGAACAACAGGGCTTCACAAAGGGACGGTCAACAACAGACGCAATGTTCATAATAAAACATATAAAAGAAAAGACCACAGAGTAAAACATACCAGCGCATATCTGCTTCATTGACCTAACATTGATCATTGATTGGGAGACGTTTTATAGATATTAATGGAAAATAAGGCACCAGCAAACATAACGAAGATAATCCACAACATAAATAACAATAACATAACAAAGGTCAAGGTAGGAGATCAATTCACTGAAACTATCCTAACACCGGGAGGAATCAGACAGAGTGACAGTCTAAGCACCCTTTTGTTTAATCTTATCATGGACAAAATTATAAACAAAGTAACAGGTAAAAGTTGGAATGGTGTGCTACGTCGATGATGCAGCAATCATCGCCGAATCAGAAAACGACCTACAGAGACAACTATTCCAGTTCTTTCTTGAAAGCCGTCAACTCAATATGAACATTTCTATCAGCAAGACCAAATGTATCTCAATCGCGAAGGATTCGCACAGATGTAAGCTGGTGGTGGAGGACAAACCCATAGAACATGTGATGCAATTAAGATATCTGGGCATAGATATATCAAGCACCCACGACCCAGCTAAAGACATAAGGAGCCAGATTAACAAAGCATCCGCACTATCAGGATGCCTACGAAATATAGTATGGTCCAATCCGTACATGCGCAAGGATGGCAAAATTACAATCTACAAGACTTATATTAGACCCATCACGACATACGGCACGGAAGTTCGCGAAGACACCAACAAGATGAAACAAATGCTAAGCGTAGCAAAGATGAAAACACTGAGGACTATAGTGGGGAAAACAAGAAAAGACAGAGTAAGAAACACAGATGTCAGAGAGCAGTGCGGGATACAAGATATTGTAATATGGGGAAGACAACGTAAGAGGCAGTGGTACAACCATATAAGACGGATGGACGAGAACAAACTTCCGAGAATAGTCCTGGAAAACAACCCGCCCGGCCCAAGACCTCCCGGGAGGCCACCTAAAAGGTGGAAAGATAGTTGGCAATCCACATCACAGGAAAAGAATTAACAGATCGACAGATCTCCAAGAAGTAGAAGAAGAAGAAGAAGTTTCCGAACTCAATTTCCGAACATCCTTTTGCAAATGTTACGTACGTTGATCGATCTTCACTCCGACTTTTCTATGACGTCCCCCAATACCGAAATGATCCGGTTCACATCCGTGGCCGAAACTTCCTCTCTCGTAAATTTCAAATCCCGGCTCAGCGACGAAATGTAGTCTCGAATCTAACTCCACGAACGGCCAGTCGGTCAGCTGACAATTATCGATGATCCCACCAATAATAGGTGAGGTATATCTAAAAAATAAACTATCAAAAGTGTCGCGTTGCATTTGCATATTTTTACCGGAAGCTGTATGCCCTACAGGTGAACCTTTTACTCTTCAAGCACTCTAGTTGACAGTCCACGACAGATTTCGCGATCAGCGAATCTCTAACTACCGCGTGATCTAGTCGCTGACCGCTTCTAACTCTCCAAAAGCAATCTAAAAAATTCCCTTGGAGCCTAAGGATCTCGTTTACTAATACTTACCGCTTTCGTGACGCCCCAAAATAAGAGATTCCTGACACCTGGCCTTGTTGTTCATCGTGTAGATGTCGAAATCTCTATCGGGTTCCAAGTCCACGTAAAAATCAAGTTCCTTATAATTTCGATCGCTCAGGAAGCAGTTGTCCGTGGGCGTTGTCAAACTCACCGTATATCTGAAACGTGCCCCTATGTATAGTCGCCCCAGATTCATAAGAGAGAAATAAAATATTTCCATACATTTTATGCAAACTGCTAAGGAACTAACTAAGAACTATTTTATGTGCTTCCTAGATATTTAAGTATTAAAAGTTCTTTTCTCACGTCCGGGAAATATTTTTGCACATCCATCTAGAAATTTCATTATTTTCACTACTAAAGGACATAAAACCGTAGAAATCGCTAATTTATGTGTAAAGGAAAGATCTTATATATGACTTCAAAAGTTAACAAAAGCGGTACATAAATTTGTATCACATTTTCAAGTAAATCCAAAAAAGTAAAAAAGAAATTTAGATTTTTATTGCCATTTTTGTTAAGTCTATAGCATGTAGATTACATCGCAGAAAACCTACATTGGAAATACTATATTGGTTATGCTTTATTTTTTGAAAATATTTACTGGTGCGTGAATGCACCATTGGTTTTCTCTGTGAAACAAAACTTTGTTATTGCTTAGCTTGTGCCTTTTACAGTGAACGTTACAGTTCATAAAATATGGCATTTCCGGGGTATTTGACTCAAAATGATTTAGAGGCCGCTATGGAGGAGATCGTGATGGATGAGGACAATAACAATGAAAGTCGTAAATATTATTTGGATTTACGTATTCTTATGTATTGTCGCATTCTATTCCTTGTAAATTTATGCCAAAAATAACGTGAAAAAATATTTACAGAACATATTGACGCGGTCTATATTCCACCCGACATGGATACCTTGACTGACAAAGAAGATATGAACGATAACATAAATTTACAAGAGTTTGGGGAACCAATTGATATAGCTGGAACTTTCGAGTTACATACACCGAATGATACAGCTGTCCTTCAACAGTCCTGTAATTCATCAACTACTGCACCTCAATGGTACTCTTCAGATAATGAAACCCTGGAATTAAAAAAAAAATGCTTTCTGCAAACGGCAGTCTTGCTTCTACCGTCAAATGGAAGAAAGGTCAGATTGAGTACACTCACACACCTATATCCTATGAATTTAGATCATGTGAGGAACTAAAAAATAGGCTTTCTGGAAAAACTCCACTTGAATTATTTTTTATGTTTTTTGATGACGAAGTGATTGATTTGATTTTAAAATTTTCGGTAAAATATACTCAAGACAATTACCGCCATGAATTCTCGTTGTCACAAAATGAACTTTTAAATTTTTTAGGCATTTTATTGTTCTCGGGTTATCATTCATTGCCATATATTTAGCATTATTGGTCTACTGATGAAGACAAAGGAATTGATCTCATAAAAAATAGTATGAGCCGCAATAGATTCCAATTGATAAAGCAAAACTTACTGACAATAATCTGTTGGATAAAAATGATAATTTTTCAAAAGTTAGACCCTTCTTTGATGTAATAAATAAAAAAAATCTACAGTTTGCCATATTTTCGTTCAACTTATCCATAGATGAACAGTACGTTTTGTCTTCAAGCCTTGGTGCCTTTGTTTTTCTGATGGTAACCTATTTTATTCACTTCCATATGGTGCTGCTCAAAATAAACCTCAATCTCAATCTATAATATAACTATATGGTTACAACAAAACAAGACAGTTCAATTTTTCAAAGAACCTGAAATTGGCTATTTGGTGTGTCAAATTGTTTCTCGAATAGGTTCCCATAACATTTGGTTTTTTAACAAATGTCTACAAAATAAGTTTTTTCCCATGTTTATTAAATTAAAAACCAACAACAGAAATCCCTCTCAATTAAAATTTGGTCACTCTGCCCCGCAATTTAAAAAACTGACTTTCGAACATAATTACCGATCTGAAAGCATAGGAGGAGCAAACGAATTGCTTTTCTTTCAAGACCTGTCAAGGCTATTTTACCATATTATCTAATAACTATATAGTTATAACAAAACTAGGCTATTTCATTATACTTAAGGAATGGCCCTGAATATAAAAAATTGAATGTCGAATAGAATTACCGACCTGAAAGCGTAGGAGGAGCAAACGAATTGCTTTTCTTTGAAGCACAACAGCTCGCACTCGTATATGTTCGGTACCACGAAGAATTTGCGAACGATTCTCTTGTGCAGGCGAAATCCGGTAGCAGTACGAAGAGAACATTCTACAAACACACCGTTTAAGGGATCCAAATGCCCGCAAAAATGTCTAAATTTTACCATCCTTGAGGAAATCGTACCCCGCCGGCCTTTTCGACTCTATGGGTACAATAAAGTTGTCCAATTCATATACAACCGGTCCCGGCAAAGCTACTTGGGTAACTGCAGGTTTTGGAGGCAGATAACTTTGAGGTGGCGCTTTCGAATCGTACCTGGATCCTTGGTACTTATTGAACCCCCAATAGTCGTAGTTTTGTTTGTCAGCGTAACCTTTATATTCTAAAATCCCGCCGTTTCCGTAGGTACCTCCGTACAAGCCCCAATCTGACGGAATTTCGGGCTTCCTCGGTAGGTAATGGTTCCTCCTGTCCGATGTAACGTCTTGTTATATTGGTTTTTAAAAAAACGTTAATTCGTTCTAACAGGTACATCTACTTACCTTATAAGGAGGTGCCGAAAAAGCTGCCGGTGAGCAAAAGCTTGTAAGGGCACCCAAGAATTGCGGTTTGTTTAGGAAGCAGTTTAAAAAGTGGAAATAGTATGAAATACTTGCTCGGGCTTTTCCTGTAGGTCCGGTAATATTACTCTAGGACTTTTAAGGTTAGACCCGAAACAAGTTCCCTTAAAGTGGAAAATTGGTGGAGTAGTGGTTCTTGGGGTACTATTTAAAATACTAAAAGTCCCCAAATGTACATTATTTTCCCGTTTCATGAAAAAAGACTTAAATACTTAAAGATTATAAAATTCCTTACAAAATGATATAAAAGAAGTTGGTACTCAGATCAGTCATTGCCGTCCCGCAGGAGGTTGAAATAGATAAAAAAGTTGAAAATTGGTGGAGTAGTAGTTCTTGGGGTACTATTTAACATACTAAAAGTCCCCACCTCTACGATGGTGGTGACCAAAACTAACCAAAACTACCTCAAAGGTACATTTTTTCACTTTTTGACAAATTTCTCCCTTATTTTCCCGTTTTAAAGAAAAAAACTAAAAGTTCCCATCCCTACGAGGGCGACAAAGTTCCCAAAAACCCGTACAAAAGTACGTTTTTAACTTTTTGACGAATATCTCCATTATTTTCCATTTTTATGGAAAAAGACGGGTTCTCCTATTTTAGGTTATAAAATTCCCCACAAAATTATATAAAAGATCAGTCATTGCCGTCCCGTAGGAGGTTGTAATAGATAAAAAATACAAATTTGATTTACAAAATCATTTCGTAAGCTTATAGTCAAATTTAAGCAGTTTAAATCAACATTGCGTAATAAAATAAATGCAATTTAGTACGTTATAAGAACAAAGTGGTTAAAAAATAAAAAAATATTTTATCAAATATTATATTATCAAATCAAAAAGTAGGCACGGAAGACGCGTCGATTAAGGTAGCTGGCAGCATAGTCGGATGTTTTAATGACAGAAAAGAGTGTATTGCTTAAATCATATCTACAAGACAGACTGCAAAAGGTTAAAGTAGGTGACGCCTTGAGCTACTCTCTTCCAGTACGGTATGGTGTGCCGCAGGGCACCGTTCTGGGTAAAATCTTGTTTACATTATATATTGCGTCTGCTATGCGGATGATGCGGCATTGATTATTGTTGAAAACACCGCCGCAAAGGCTGAAGAATTACCAAGTCTGGTAAAAAATGGCTGCTGTCACTTAATTTGGATAAAACCTGAATCATTAGTTGTTCCAGGACCAAATCTGGTGCTCCAGACTTGTAAAGAATAAACATTCATAATTTTGGTTGTGACTATGACACGAATTGTGCGATCTTTACATAAATTCCACCGGAACCTTAAAATATTTAGGGGTACTTTTTGATGAGAACCTTAACTGCCAATTATAGCACTTTGAAAATTCGCAAGTTCTCCCATAATTGTTTTAAATTACGTCAGAATTTGTGAAAGAGTTCCCTTATTCGGATATATAAATTTTTAGTATAAAATAATTTCTTGGTCGCAGTATTTCTATATATTTTTTCTCAATTTTACTCATTATGGATCTTGTAATGGGTATTTTACGTTAAATTAATTACAATCTTCTTCTTGAGTCCTCGTTTTGTATCCACATCCAATAAGAATTAAAATTTCAATTCTCCGAATTTCATTTAGATGAACCATATTCAATTTGTTTACTGACAGAAATTCAAATGTGACAATTTAAGAACTGTTCTGGTACTAGCTATTTACCTGTTCATTTCAAAATTAAATTCGGTGTTTGTGAATAAGTGGAATTTTTTTTTTAATGTAAATAGCAAGAATCTTGTATGGTCATTCTTGAGTGTGGTGAACGGCCTCCCTCAGTGTTCAGTTCTGGGCCCAGTTTAATTGTTAATGTACATTAATGACATTTATCATCATATCTCATCAATAAACACCAAAAACTCTTAGAAGGCTTCATTTACTGATGAGTCCACTATATCAATAGTGGACTAAAGCATCGCTAAAATCGATATTTCAAAAAATCAAACTATGGAAGCAGGCCAGCAATACGGGGCAAAACGAAAACAGTGAATATGATTTTCTCTCATAGACGTGTCGATGAAGCTGCAAATTGAAACAAAACAAAATTTCTTGGTGTCTTGATGGACCCGAAGCTGAACTGGAGGGAGCACGTAAACCTCCTTACCGACAAGATCTCGCCAAAAGCATCTTGGCTGTAAGACAGTGACATTGATGTACTAAAATTGGCATATTATGTCCTAATCGAATCGCATATGTGTTATGGCATGAGATTATGCACCTTCAAGCTCTGTTGTCTTCTCATTACAGCGGAGAGCGCTAAGATTAATGTTAAAAAAAATTTATTATGATCAAAATCCAATCCCTTATTTTTAAATGAATTTGTTCAATAGTTTTGCCGTCCACTGAATATAAAATATAGTTTCCTTCGACAACGTAATTATATTCCCAACACTACGAATTGTTTAAATATACCACGTGATTATCATAGACGTGTTCAATCATTGAGGAGGCACTGAGGGAGATCAATCAAAAGAAACTTTGAATTAATTGTCCTAAACGTTTCCAGTTTACAGGAAAATTCGCAAAACTTTTTCAATCCCAATGATTTCCTTAAGAAGTACTCTCATTAACACTTCATAACCTCCTTTTTTCTGCATTTTGCGAATACAATAATTTGGCAAACGTCCTCGGAGGTCCTAAATAAAGAAAAGTAATTTGGGCTTTAAGCCCGACAAGTAAGAAGAAGAAGATCCGAAAGCATAAAGAAGCTGTAGCGGAAGTGCATACCGGCCGAAGATACCGTCACCGATCCTTGGCAAGTCAAATCCAAGCTCTACGATACCTATTTTCATTTCCGTAGCGAGATTTATGATCGGCATAGCCTTCCGAGTATCCGTAAGAACCCAGATACGATCCCCAACGTTCCTTATCCCTATCTGGATAAATACCAGCGTACGGATACCTTGTCGGAGGGATATAAGGTTCGTACAAACGCGTAGGTACTTGGTGTGAGGCTGGGAGATAATGTATACCGGAGTATCTGTTGTTTTGTTGTTGATAATCGTGTCTGTCTGAGTTGTGATAGTTGTAATGATAGCTGTGACTACTCTCGTAGTCCCTGTGTGATGCGTGTGAGTGATGAAATGAATAGTCTGCAAAAAGTAAAACCAGATTTGTAGTCTTCAAATTTAATAATACATATTTGCTAAAACCGCGAGACGTACAACTGTTATTTTATTTGGTTCGAACGCACAAAACGTCCCATATGATACTATTGGGCGGATATTTACCTCCTCGTCTATCATCGACGGGTCTTCCGTAATCGTGACGTCGATCGACTTGAGGCCTGTGAACTCCGTAGGAGTTGTCGCCCCATCTGTCGTTTGGTCTTGGACCGTCTGGTAGGTACGGCACTGGTCTCCTTAAGGGCGGGGCTGAAGTACGATAACCTATCAACTTGGATTCTGACACGCAGATTGATGGAATGATAAAAGTCGGGCAAAAGTATTATGAATGAAAGTTCGGTAGTCTCCGCCACTCTTTTGGTGGTAAAACTTTATTAACCATTCAGATAAGTTATGCAACAATAAGTGATACTATTGACAAAACTTCTGGATTCCTCCTGCGTCGATTATTGATGACGTTTGGCCAATCAACCTGTTGGCTTCTTCAGAGTTTAATTGAAACTATTGTTGGAGGGGGCGGAGCTAAATGAGAGGCATAGACATCGTCTCAGATGACTGATTGACTGACATATTGGTAAAGACAAGAGTCACGGTTAAGATTATTAGGTTGCTTATAGATTTCCATAGACTCTAGGATTTTTTGTTGGTAAAAGAATTGATTACATGCAAGAATTTTAGTTTGTTCGGTATATTTGTCTTAGTCTTAAGGCTCTTCATGTTCCTTGAGCCTAGTTCATATTTTTCGCCCGGTCTCTCCAATGTATTCTTTGCCGCATATGCATGAATGTTGTGCTCCTGGCATCTCAAATGGAATTTTGTCTTTGACGGATGGAAGATATTGGACAATAGATCGAGGGGGTAATCCTGAAGAGACATGAAGGGTGGCAGACTTTTTCACCGAGTCTGATAGAGAAGAAGCCTTAATAACGTGGGATGACGTGGGATCTTTCTTAAGTTGACGATATGATCTATTTGTAAGAATATCTTGCATCTTTTTTTTAAGCTCCAAAGAAGGTAACAGTCGAAAGAGCAGCAAGTTGGATTTATCAACAATCAACGCAGAAGTTTTGTAAATAGTATTACCATAGCCTGTGGAAGTTTCTTTGAAAAAATGAATATTATTAGTGTTATAAAAGGCATTGTGGGTAAAATAGCCATTCATTTTTATTTTTAATTGCTTTAAAGGTCGGTGTTTAAGATAAAATGGGGGCAATAAGAAGATGTGCTGAATACTGAAGCAAAAACTCCAGACTATTCTTGTTTAACTGTTTTATTCTATCACACTTACTTGATTCCCTGCTGGGAAAATGCTCCGATATATTTATTAAACAGAATCCAAAAGCAAAGCTCTTAAAACTGTTTTTCTTCTAAATTATTATATACCAAACGAAGAAGTTTACCAGAGAACATCTTTATGGGACATACAGAAGTTGAATATTTGAGCAAAAAATTGTCTACTGCATTCAAAAAGGAACGCTTAAATCATATCTAACTGCCCAAGGGGTAGAACCGCAAAACTCTTCACCAGACTTTGAATAGGCTATCAGAAAATGTTACAAATGGTGCAAACATAAATAGGTTATGCTAGAACCTCAAAGTGAAATATTACTGCTTATTATTTATTTATAAAATCATAAATAAATAAATTGACTTGATTGATTGGATAGTATTGGTCAGTTAGCTAATCGCTTATTACCATAAGGCCTGGTCGGTAGGGCGTGTCTATAATCGTCGTAGTCATAGTTTGGAGGACCATTATGACCTCCACCGTAACTCCCACCATGACCATAATTGCCATAGGGGAGATAATTATGATCCGGCCTTTGCCTGCAGTTCGCAATGGCCGCGTTTCTATCCCTCGAGTAATAATCGTAATCGGGATCTACGATCACTTCGTGGATGACGTCAATTCGCGATAAAGGCAGGTCCAAAATTTCGCAATCTCCTTTTCCACGGCCAGTGGGGTCTAGTCTAGGCAAATAGAGAAAAATGGATGAAGTACAAATAGTTTAATCTTTACGGGATAAAAAAGTTGTAACAAAATAATTATGTATGAAATTCCTTTCTTAGGCGGAACGGGGATTAAAATAATACCTAATTTGGATTTTAACCTCCGAGGACGGATAAAATGTAAAGTCTGCTCATAGATATAAGAAAGCGACTAACTGATACGAATTAAGGAAAGACCCGGGCAATCTGTAAGAATGAAATATGGCCGAACAGGGCCGTACTTTGCTTAGAATTTAATTATTTGGGGTTTTGTTAGGAAAGATACTAAACAATATTTATTTATTTATTTATGTATTTATGTTTAAAAATAAAATAAAATTACAAATAATTTTTATTACCTAATTAAATTAGGTACTTAAAATTATTCACATAATATAACAGTATCTCTATCGCTATCATCGCCTGTTCTAATTATTATTTGTTCTATATTATTTGCAATATGGATATACGATTGTTCTGCTTTTTCTTAGGACGAATGATTTCAGTTGGTGCCAAACATATTCAATGGGATTAAATATACAGTGATAAGGTGGAAGTCTTAAAACTGCATGCCCTAGATTTTTTGCATAATTATCCCAGACGTATGCCTTTTGTAGGTTCTAGCTTTGTAGAACCTCAATTAATTGCTTTTTGGTATAATCGTCGTGAAAATAAATGTCAATATTATACATGTAATTTGGGATTGTTGCTTTTGTGTCACATGAGGAAGGGGTTTTAGTCAACTGTCTACTGTGATAACTTCATTGTCCATTACAATGACGCTATTATAAGAAATGTTTGGAACTAGTTCGTTTTTAAACCAACTTTCAAATAAATCAGCGGTGGTGTCTTCATGGTAATTAAGAGAAGAATCTTTAATATTTTTCGCAGACAGAGAAAGTCCATTTGGAATCCAACCATCTTTAGAGCCAGCATGCAAAATAGTTATTCTTTTACCTCTTTTTGATGGCGCGTTTGTTTTACACTTATCAGTTAAGTCCACCCAACCCTTCTCCGGGGTATCATAAGTGTCGAACCAGGTTTCATCCAAGTACCAAGTAAATTTGCCTTTGTTGTTTTTGTTGTTTCTGTAAATCCTACTTTTTTCTAAATATTCCAGTCGCCATTTCCGAATTCTAAAAGATTCCATTAAAACTTGCCTTTTGTCAATTTTTTAAAATCTAAAACTCATGTGTTGAATACACTTCCATAAGGTAGTTCTGCCACATTTAACACCAGTTTCATTTTTTTCAAGCTTCCTAATTAAGATATCTAATGTAGGCACGCTTCGTTCCTCGTATAACTGGTAAATTTTTCGCCATTTATATCTTGATCACTTTCATCTATACTCGAGAAGCATCGCTTCTTTTTTTCCTAGCTGAAATGGTATTATTCACAATTTTCCACAATCTTATTGTATTGTATGTTAATGACCACCCTTGGATAATCCCATTCAAAAGCAATTGGTCACTTTCTTAAATCTATGCACAGACCATACTTCTATGCTTAGCCACTATCATACGGGATCCCCCGTGGTCAATGGCGATCCCGTATGCAATGTGCAGTGTTGCCGCTTGTTTGGAAAAATAGTCTCAAAATCGATTTTTAAAATAGGCCAACCAAAATATTGTTCCACTTTTCTTTTTTTTATTTTCTGATTTTCTAATTCGTTCTGTAATTTAGTTATAGTTAAGTCAAGAAAGTTTAAAGAGTTATCTAGTTCCGTCTCTATAGTAAATTTTGTAATGTTATGTATACAGTTCATATAATTCAAAAACGACTGTAGTTGTCGTTCCGTTCCAGTAACACAAACAATAACATCATTTATGCATTTATACCACCAAACAAAACTTGTACTCTGCAAGTATCGGGTTAAATGTTTTTTTTTATAATTAATCCTTTTTTTATAATTAATCCTTTTGTTTTATGATGGGGTTAACTTGTCTCTGCTATTAAATATATTTTGGACGTCAAAAGAAACTAGAATCGCATTAGGAGCAATCTTAATGTCTTTAACCTTGTTGACTAGTTGTGTTACCAAACTACAGGCTTAATTGATATATCCTGTTTATGTAATTTAATTAAAGAAAATAATTTTTGCAGGTTGTAAATTAACACTTATTAGTTGGTACTTTTCTTTGTCATTAAAAAGTGCTGAATCAGTAATTACAGTTTTGATTTGTTTTTGATATAACTCGGTGGGATCATATTGTATACTTTATTATAAGTCTTGTTTAAGAAACTATTTGGTATTTGTAAACATAATCCCTCACACACGGACCAAGTAACACATAATAACTGAAATCACCCTCCCACATACAAAATGGTTGACTTTTATTCTTTTATCTACCACTTTGCAGACAATTTTGAAAAGGAATTAACAAAGAAAATTTCGAGACATCTACCTAAATTTGGTCTCAAGATGCTTAAAAAACTCAGGATTCTACAAGTTGAAATATGGATCATGTCCCAAAATTTATATCGAATAAACAGGTAGAACATTTAAGAAAAGTATTAACGGACGTAAAAGAGCGTATAAAAATAACAGTTCGGATTCTAACTATGCCATTCGTTTAAATTCAGGAATGTGATAATTTAGGTAAGGAATCAAATAGCACAAAAATCTTTTACTTAATCACTAACACTGGTTGGCAATGAAATCCTCCTTGAAAAATATGATAAATATAATGATTCAAACGTTTTGAATCTATCCCCGTTGGCCGATTTTTTCTATCACGTCTAGATTTTCGATATAATTTTTTTTTTATATTTCACAATTTTGTTTTTTTTTTCAATTTTTTGATTCGTCAACGTTACAAAAAGTAAATATTCATACAAAATGAGTTTCAGAGAGTTGTAAGAGAAAGGAGGGAAGTGCCGAAGTTGATTTTTATGGTAGTGCATGCGCAGTATTCATTGTGACACTACAACAGTTCAGTGAAAACTTTAAATCAAATATTTTGGTAAGTTTTGCATAAAGTTCATGTTCTCTACATTGGATTTAAGCATTTGATGTGTAGTTTGAGTATTTTTTTTAAGTAGAGTCAATAAACATAAAATAGAATTTTATGTGATTTTAGGTTACAAAATGCCACGGACTTGTAAAAAAATTCCTCAGATTGATTTTGCTACATACATACTAAAAACACAGCGACATGTCATGACCGATCTGGTTAAAACAGCTTATAAGCTTTATTTTGGATTTTCTATCGATGAGCGAGATAAAAGTTGGTTGTCAAAAGTATGCTGCAATAGCTGCTCAAGAACGTTGAGAGGTTGGCTTGAAGAAAGTCACAAATCCATGCCGTTTTCAATGCCAATGATTTGGAGTGAGCCTTAAAATCATGAGAATGATTGTTATTTCTGCATGACATCTACATGAGGATTCTCGAAAAAAAATAGAAATAAGATTGTTTATCCGAACGTCCTATCTGCAAAGAGACCAATTCCTCGTGATAAAGACACTCCACCTCCAGTTCCACCAGTTAATCAGGAGGCTGAAAATAAAAATATTTCAGGTCTACAATCTCAATCGAGTTTTCTTTCTGGTAGGACATCTTCATCTTCATACACTTTATCTGGATCTTCATGTCCATCTACAGAACCTCATTTACTTGAACAAGGCGACTTAAATGATCTTGTTAGAGGTTTGGGACTTTCAAAATCTAAGGCACAGTTACTCGGATCAAGGTTAAAACAGTGGAATCTATTGGCTAAAAGTACCAGAGTTTTATATTTTCGTACGAGGCAAGAAAGTTTTACAAGTTACTTCTCCAAAGAAGATGATTTGGTATATTGTAATGATGCTGCAGGGCTTCTTCATAAACTAATTTTTCCAGAAGATTCTAGTGAATGGAGACTTTTTATTGATGCTGCAAAAATAAGCTTGAAAGCCGTTCTACTTCATAATGGTAATAAATACCCACCTGTCCCCATTGCACATGCTACAAGCATGAAAGAAAATTTTGCACATCTTGAGTTACTACTTGACAAAATTAAATATTCTCATTACCTATGGAATATTTGTGCTGATTTAAAAGTTGTCGCTATACTGACTGGACTACAAGGAGGATACACAAAATTATGCTGTTTTCTTTGTGAGTGGGATAGCCGCGCAAGAGACAAACATTACAAAGTAAAAACCTGGCCATCAAGAAAAAGTTTGACTCCTGGACTTAAAAATGTTTCTCATAAACCGTTAGTGCCATGCGAGAAAATTTTTCTGCCACCCCTTCACATAAAGTTGGAACTCATAAAAAACTTTGTGAAAACTATGAATAAAGATGGCGCAGGTTTTGAATACTTAAAAACAAAATTTCCTCGAATCAGTGACGCGAAATTGAAGGAAGGAATTTTTGTAGGTCCGCAGATACGTGAGCTCATGAAGGATGAGGTTTTTGATTCGAAGTTGAGCAAAGCAGAAAAAAGAAATCATTCGGGAGCTACTTTCTGCTCATTAAGCTTTAGGATGCAATATGTCACTCAAGATCCATTTTTTAGACTCGCATTTAGATTTCTTTCCTGAAAATCTTGGAGCTGTATCAGATGAGCATGGTAAAAGGTTTCATCAGGATATAATGCAAATTGAAAAATGCTACAATGGAAAATGGTCAGCAGCAATGTTTGCTGATTTGTGTTGGTCAATTCACCGAGAAACTCCAATGGAATTTATGAAGAGGAAGAAAACTACTAAATAATTTGAATTCTATCACTCCATAATGAAATAACTGACGATATTTATTAGTTTTGTTAATAGAATTTAGGATTTTTTACTGTTAAACTCAATCCGCCACATTTTTTTATTTTCTTATAATAATTTATACTTTAATAATACTGTTTTTTGATGAAATAAATATTAAATTAAAAACCTACGTGTGGTACTTATTTGTATATCAGATTCCGTGTTTAGAGCATAAAATAAGATGAATTCATGCATTAAAACAAGGAGAGAAAATTTTTTTTTGCAGACCAGTGTAATTAGATTGAATTTGATATCCCTTGTTAAATTTAAATTAATTTATAACCCTACAACTACGGGCTGCGGGCTCTGGAGGGAGGGAACCCTCAATCGGGATCCGTACGACATTTTAGAGGGCTGTCGCGGGGATCGCGGGGTCATGGGCATGCCGAGTGACGTCATGATCCCCGAGATGACCTTCTTTGATAAATTGACCTTTCTCTTTCCATCAAGGGAAGATTGGAGAGAGAGCAGAGTCGGCTCCTGGGATGGACTTGTCTGGTACACGGACGGGTCCAGAATGGGAGATCTGGCCGGAGCTGGAGCGTACTGCGAGACAACGGGATCAAGCTTGTCGGTCCCTCTGGGCCAGTACTGCACTGTGTTTCAGGCGGAAATTTTCGCTTTATTGATGGCGGCCAGAGAGGTGCTTCGGCTCAACTACGGAAGCAGGAGAGTCTTCTTCTGCTCGGATAGTAGGGCTGCACTCATGGCGCTGAAGTCAGTGCGTACGCGCTCCTTGTTGATAAAGGAGTGCAAAGGGGTACTGAGGAGGGTGGCTGAGGAGAGAAAGGTCACGTCGGTCTGGGTTCCGGGTCACACCGGTGTCCGGGGCAATGAGGCAGCAGACGCCTTAGCCAGGGAGGGCTCCTCGCATAGGCATATAGGGCCAGAGCCCCGCTTGGGGATCGCCCCGTGTGTGAGGCGGGGAGCTCTCGAAGCCTGGGCGAGAGACCGGGCCGCGGGGGGCTGGAGAGTTGCTCCGGGAATGAGGCAGGCGAGGCTTATGATGGATGGGCCCGCCCTTCCTCGGACCAGGGAGCTGCTTAGACTGACCAGGAGGGAGTGTAGAGCACTAACAGGGGCCTACACAGGACATTGCAGGCTTAGGAGGCATCTCTGCTTGCTAGGCATTGGACACGACCCGGAGTGTAGGTGGTGCATGGAAGGGGAGGAGACCCCGTATCATCTGCTCACCGAGTGCCCTGCCTTGACATGGGCATGATTGGGAGTCTTCGGAACGGCCCTGATCGATCCGGACTCAGTGCACGGTATTGGGCTAAAGGATTTGCTGACCTTCTACAGGAGGGGCGGCATTCTGGACGCCCTCTAGAGCGGCCTGGGGGCACAACGGGCCCATCTGGTGGCCTAAGTGCTTGGACGCCCGCGAGGGCGCCCCCCTTTAATACCAATACCAATACCAATAACCCTACAACTATAATTAAGAGTAGATTTGATAAAGGTACGGCGGTGCCGAAACAGCTGTAACAAAACCATAAATAACCAAGAAAATCTGAACATATTTCTTGTTTTAATTTAATTGTTTTAAATTGATTTTCATTAAGTAAAAGCCACTTCAATAAATTCAATCAACTTAAATTCTTATTTTTGGATTGGGGGTCTGTTTATTACGAAATATTGTGAAAAATATTTAAAGCCGCTTTCAATTCATATTCCTGTATATATTTATACATATATTTCTATTGGTTGAATTGTCCAGATATTTTGCATATAGAATGAAAAATTGTGTCAAGGTTTAATGACACAATGATTCAAAAAATATGCATATACCTATGCGGCAACTGCAATGCTAATTTGAATCGCTGAACTTGAAAAAATGACTAATTGGACCGGCACATACAATAAGTGCGGACATGACAAATTTGTTCAATTGCTAAAGCGTAAGCTCATCGTTTATATGAATCGACGTTTTAAATGGATTCAAATTCAAATATTTATCGAAGTCATCGCTAAAAAAATGGTAAATTTTATTGATTATTTCCCATCATCATACCTGTAGTTGAATCCTTCGCATGTGAAACGCTTTTCCTCCGCACATTCCCGCTGACATTGTTCAGCTGTTTCGCATGTCATGTATTTTCTGACCAGTCCTCGTACTACTCGTTTACCTGCTAGAGTTCTTCGAAAACAAGCTACAAAAACAGTAAAACTACTATAATACCAATAGAAATGACTTCCAGTATGGCAAAAGTAATGATGCCTAGGTCCCACCTAATCCAAATCACAGATAATTATTATTTCTAAATTTCAAAGGGAAAGAACACGTGTTGAGTGATCTTAAAGATTTCCAAGTCTTTTTTGGATTTTTTTCTCCACAAATAGTCTATAAATAGTCCCGCGTCTCCCTTCGTACCTCAGACACAGTGAAATTTCTTAAACGTTTATAGTTCTCCCAATCATTGGGCAAACGAGTTCTTTTAAAATCCTGCAAAACGCAGTTTCTCTGTTTCATATAGAGCTTAACATTGAGTGTAAGCCAAGGGGCTCGTTGCTTGTTAAATCCGATAGCAGGAAATTGTTAAGAAGTGCAATCTTAGTATCAACACTCACTCAATCACTGAGTTAAATAGAGATCTTGTAAGAATAAATTAATATTAAAATTAGCATAGTCCCTGTGAGACATAATAATAATAATAATAATAACTTTTGACTGTAAACGAGAATTTTCTATTTTTAAACAACAGTAAACTAGACAGTGATCAGAAACTTCACCCGCTGATGTAACTTCGGTACTAGCAAACATCGATTCATTAATCAAGAAAACAGGATCCAATAAAGAAACAGTTGATGGTAAAGTGGTAATTTTCAAATAGTTTAGTTAGAGGATTAGTGAGGTTCAATAAATTAATATTGAAATCACCCAAACAAATTATTTCATCTGTAGCCGGATAAATGTTAGAAAAAATATTATCAAAGTCGCTTTTGCAAAATCACTTAAATGGATCTATATTAAAAATTCCCAATTTTAGTTTTCATGTGTAAAAACCACAGACCTGTTTTTCTACAGAAAAATGGAAAAGTTCATTTTTTTCAAAAACTACTCAGAATTTCGTATGTTATGTAATGACAAAAAAATACTTTTGAATCAGGCGAGTAATTAGGATTTTTAGGAATATTCACAGCAATCACAACGGAACAGCATACATAGAAAAATACTACAAATAAAATATATGCCAAGGTTCAAAGAGTTTTTGTATTTAACTTTTTTTTCTCAGTATCGTACTTATTGAGATAAGGTATAGGCATTTTAAATTAACGACCAAGTACACGCTAATAACATAATATGTTTAAATCATTTTTAAATGGAGTTAAAGAGAAAATCAATATTACTTCCTGACTTATTTAACTAAGTATGATTTAATGGTTTAATAACAGGGTTTCCAAATATTTTTAATAAAGATCATTTTCTATTTTAAAATTTACTTAAGAAACTTTTGGTTCAACAATCATTCAATTTCCCTTGCAATACTATCAATTGAAAAGATTTAATAAAAAATAATAATTGTTGGCAAACCATTAAATTACCAACCGAAAAATTGGTATTCTTCATATATTTTTATCTTGTTGACTTTTGATATAATTATACATTTTGAATCAAAAATTTAGAACCTACTTTTCAGTTCAATTTATAAAACAGGTTTACATTTTATTTTTTTAAATAAAAGATATTAAAAGATTTTTACCATACTCGTTTGCACGACAATACACAGAAATTTGTGTAATATGGGCTTATTTCTCTTATATCAATGGTAGACGTCAGCAAATCTGAATATTTAAAAAATATAGAGCCCTGCTCGCTCACTTTGGTGCCAGAATTTTTGATAATTACGCTGATCCATCATCATACGTTAGAAAGAAAGAAGGACCTTAGAAACCATTTTAAAGAAAAATCAAATTGTTCGTTGCCATTTGGTGAGAATTTCACTTTGCGTGTGTTGTTTATTTGTGGGCAGGCAATTATTCTAATCGTCGTGACACGTTAATGGTATTACGTAAGTAATTGTGAATATCTAGTTATATTATCGCAAAAAATAGTATTTAAACACGTAAGTAATTTTGCAAACGTTCTCGCGACCAAATTGATCACGCTATACCATTACGACCTAACAGGTTTTCGTCGCATTTACTCGTTTATATAGTTGATGGATTTTTGAAATATGAAAATTTGAATTTGAAAAATTGAAATTTTTGAAATATTATTTTTCAAAAAGTATCGTAATCAAAATCACCAAGCACTCTGAGCAATGTTGTTAGTTCCAAAGGAGACGTGTCTAATAAATTTCGCCATAAACTTTTATTTCATGACAACACAATCAGTCAGTATGCGAAAAAGTGGTTTAATAAAATGATTTACTATGTGTTTATGTTTTTGTAATCCATTATAATAATAATAATCAGATACAATACTGCAATTGCACATGTTTAGCAACTTATTTATAACATCATATGAAAGCAATCTGTGAAAATATAACTTTTTTGCTATTTTGTTGACTTTATTTGAAAAAATACGTTATTCAAACATGCAGCAAATATTAGGTAGGGCGTATGATTTTTGATCATCAGTAGTGGCGAAATTTTTACAGTGTGTTCGACGGATAAAAATAAGGAAATACGTTCGTGTGAACTTATGTCCCAAAATGCTTCATTTCGAAGACACAGAGTCCTGAAATATTGCGAAGAAATTGTTTTTTCCTATTTAAAAAGAAAACTCTTCAAGATTTCGCTTTTAAACTTTGTAAGGCTTGTTGCCGCGTAAAAACGAATGAAATGAAATCCGCGAAATATTTGTAAAATCGTAACGTATTTCCTTTAAATTTTCATCACTTTTCATTAACAAAAGCAAATTAAAATCATAATCAACTAAAAATTTAAAAGAAAATCGCCAATATGTAATTATTAAATAAATGTTTTAAGATAATTGTAGATTCACGTTTATATCCTAAAAATATCACGCTGATGAACCCACTGATTACAGTTTTACCTCAAATTTTGAAAATTATTTTGCTTTGTTGCTATATCAGATTGACGTTGAGACACCCTGATTCTGATCTAATTATTATGTGATGTATGTAAGGAAATATAAACAATATACTCATAAAAATGCTCTTTTATTTATTTAGTAAAAGTAACAGTAAATAAGTTTTCTCAATCTGAAGAAAAAATAATTTTAAGAAAAATGTTTTAAAAATAAAATTATGTTCATTTAAAATTTTTTATTAATTTATTTGTTAATTTATTCAGCTATTAAATAATTAATTTGATTTTAATACTGATACTGAGACAATTCATGTTTTTTTTTAGAAAAATGTTTTAGAACAGCCCATTCTTTTATGTATTTTTATTTTTATTAATTTGTAAGTTATTAATTATTTTTCAAAATCAATAAAATTCGTAAAAGTTATTTCAAAATCGATTAAGTTTTTGTGAAATCTTTAAAGTCCCATATCAAAAATAACAATCAATTGCAGAATTTTGTTTTTAGTGTAGTTAGTTTTGGTTAATTTACTTATTTATTATTTTATAAACGTTTTTGAAATCAGAAAAAAATTAATATTGAAGTGTCCAAATTTTATTTTTTTTTAGCTTTTTTGTTTTATTAGAAATTTACGAAATTTCTGCATAGCCTCTAGCTTCAGAAAACGATAATAACGCCTAACCCAGATTCAGTTTCTTGTTGAAAAACAATTTTTAATATCATCTATTGACTGAATGATTTGTTTTATTTTAATAGCACGCCGTAATTAAAATTAAACATAAAATAATATAAAATTTACCTTTGGCATCCTCAACGATAATGACTGATCCGATGACATTAGCGAGAACGCTGATCGCAATTACAAAGTTGTATTTCACGGGCAAAATTTTCATTTTTTTTTTGTTGCTAAAATTCGATAAACCGTCAGCACACACGAAACGTATCATCCATATTTTCGACTATTTCGAATTTTAAGCTTAACCCGTTCCATTATACTACTCGCGAGCTGCCAGACCAAGACTGCTTTTGATATGGCAACGTCTTAATGAAAATGACGCTGGTTCTCAGGAACCCAATTTGCATACAAAAACAGACGTTATAGCGCAATTTTACGTAACAGATTAATCCAAGTAAAGATTTAAGGTTATGCCAAGATCAGTTAAGACAATGTTCATTAGGAAAACTAAGGTATACGGGGTGTTTTTTTAATACGCGGCCAAACTTCAATAGGTGATACTTTCAGTGACTTTAAGGCAAGACATACGTCCCGAAATGCTTTGTTTTCAACATAGATGGTGACTAAACTTATCTTTATCAAAGATTTAGATTAATCTGAAGATTTTGTTGAAATTAGACGGTGAAATTAGTGATAGTAAAAGGCTAGTTCAGCTTCAGTTAGATTAAAATTATTAATTCTAGTCGATTCCTTAACTAGGAGCTTATTTTGACTAGAATAAACTTGGAATTTAAATTTAAAACTTGCTCCCCTCATCTATTGGACAATAAATAAGGCATTTGCAGTGACCAGTAGCTAATACAACTAAAATTAGAAATTTGCAAATATAAAATAAATAAGTCATTAATTCCAGAAACAAAAAATTTCGACGGATTTTTCATTTTTGCAATTTTTGATCTGTCTTCTCCTTTTTCTATTCATTAAGGTATTTGTGACTGGTGTTTATACATGGTGAGTCGAAGATATCGGGGCTTTTATTTGGAAAACTAATAATTTTTACTTATTTTGTTGACGGTATATTTGTCGTGTTAGATTACACATGTACAATTTATTCATGTGTAAACTGCATTTAAGAAAGAATTTAACTGACTATAACAAAAAAAATTAGTCCCCTTTTATTAAAATTTAAACTAATTGTTGTAAAAAATAGAGATAGATTTTGAGTTATATTTTGACACCCATCGATCTATAGAGTTTATTAAAGAGGATAGACAAGAATTTTCTATACAAAAGTTATATGATTTTGTCTCTATTATCTTCTGAAATGAATACAAAATTAACAACAACATTTGGTTTCAAATAACTCGAATTTATTACAGAAAAATAGAATTTAAAAATCAACATCAACATTGCCTTGGAACAAAGCGTTATGTATCAGTATATTATGCAACAAGTGTGTTAAACGGCATTTAAGTCACGAG